CCCTGGGCCTCAACAGAAGCGGAGAAACGGAGACCTCGTGCTGCTTCCCAGGGGCCTCTTGGGGCGTCTTGGGCCACCATTTTGTTCAGACGCAATTAATCGTCGACTCCCAAGAAAATATTTGAAAATACGGGAATTGGGCGGGAAGACAAAAAACCAGAAAATATGGGAACATATGGGACATCATTTTATTTGTGTGTATTTATTTGTGTGTCCTTGGGCCCCCCTTCTGTTTGAAGGGGGGCTCTTCCGGCCCACGGAGGCAGAGCTGAGGCGCCCCTGGCCCGCCTGGGGCCTCTGGAGACCGTCTCGGGGAGCTTTGGGCCGTCTCGGGCTATTTTTTTGGGGTGCTGCAAGCCTCAGGGCCGTAGTCGCGGCCTCCCCGGGGCGCTGCGTTGGGGCCCTCTTGGGGCATCTTTGGTTGGACTGGTGCCATCGTTGAAGCCACTTGGGCCGTCTTTGGGCCAATCTTGAAGGCCGTCTTGGGGTCTCAGCAGGCCATAAAAATGCGAGGGCGCCAGAACCCGTCAAGAACCCATGTGGAGTCAATGCTTGTGTCATCCACGTCCCCTCCTGGCAAGCCTCTTTGACCCCTCTTGTGCCGCACTGGGGGGACCTTTGGGGCCGTCTGCGTGGCATCTGAGCCGCCGTGGAGCAGGACGGGGAGGCGGACTACGCCAGCAGGAGTAAATTTCGAAGACGTTCGCAATTTTGCTTCGTTCTGAGCTGGATCCGTCTTGGGGCCAGCCTGGAAGCCTCCGAGGCCCTCTTGCGGCCATCTTCGAGGACATCGATCAACCGAGGACATCGATCAACGAAGTGGGACCCCCACGCCTCCTCTGCAGCCCGAAATATCGCTTCTTGGAGCCCTCGTCTGGCTGTCATGCCCGCTGCTGAGGTCGTCTGGGGTTTTCATGGGCTCCTCTAACAGTGGAAACCCATACCAAGAAACACCCTGCTTGCCTCCAGGGTGCCCTGGGTTTCTTGGGTTTCGATGTTCTTGCCATGGAAAGCGTGACGTTCCCACCCCAGAAATCAGTGGTCCGTCTCAGGGTTGGGTTTCTTGTGGAAGGCTTCTTGTGGTCGAGCTCCCACTGTAGGGCTCTCCCGAGCGATCTTGGAGCCGTCTTGAGGCCGCAGAGTCCCACCAGAAGCGAGAGGCGAGAAGGCGCAAAGCATCGATGTCAATTGATTCCACCAGGCAGGCTTTAGAGTTAAGTCGTGCCTTTCTTTCTACAGGAGGAATATTCAAAAATAGTTAACCGCGAATTATTCTCTTTGTACTTTGTAAATAGTTTGGAGTATTTTTGGTGTATTTTGAGTTTTTCGTCCAGAATCCGCCTTCAGGGGGACATGCCCGACCTAACTTTGAGTCGGCGGCATCCTTGAGAGCCTCGTCTGAGGCCATTTGGGACCCTGTTCAGTCGTCGCGGGGTGCGAAGACCCCCCCGTACAAGGGAGGGGAGGGATCAGGTTTCCAACTCCCTCCCGCCACCTCTCAGGAGGGAAAACACACACACAGACACAAGTAATCGTCGATTCCCGGAAAATGTGGAAGCAATGGGAAGTGGGGGGGAAGACAGAAACCTGGAACATATGCGAAAATGTGGGGAATCCGGTGATTTGTGTGTATCTATTTGCGTGTCCCAGGGCCCCTTTCAATCGCAGTGGCACCCGAGCTGCCGCGCGGGGCAAGAGGCCGACGGCGGATGGACATCCGCTGGGGGGCCACCACCCCACACAGACGCACGCCAGGTGTGCGACGCTCGCGCAGTGCGCCGCGCGTGCCAGGTCCGCTGCGCGCACCGGGCGCTCCGGGTGCCCCAGGGGGCCCCCGAGCCGGCGGCCCTCCTCCTCCTCCTCCTCATCCCCCTCCTCCTCGTCCTCCACCTCCTCCTCCTCCTCCTCCTCCTCCTCCTCCTCCTCCTCCTCCTCCTCCTCCCCCTCATTGGGTGCAACGAGCTCACGCGGGCGCGTGTTCCTCGCTGCTGCTCCGAGTGTCTCTGGGACTCGAAAAAAAAGCCCCAGGGGCCCCCGAGCGTGCCCGGCGCGCCAGGTGTCAAGCCGTGGCGAAGCGTCCTGGCTCGCCTATATCTTGGCATCGCTCGGACGTGCGCATTTTTCCTTCTGCGAGAACAATCGAGGAGCATCCTTGACCATCTGGCGACGAAACCACGCACGAAACCGAAAAAAGCACAGGGAACGGACGTCCGAGCGATGGCCAGAAGGAGCCCCCCAGCGTGCCAGGCGCGCCAGGTGTCAAGCCGTGGCGAAGCGTCCTGGCTCGCCGTTGTAGGCCTACCATTCAGACGGGCCTGTCCCTCTACAGGAGAAATATTCAAAAATAGAAAAACTAGTCTGGGGGCGATTTTCGTTGTATGTTGGGGTATTTTTGAGGATTTGTTGGTATGTTTTATTTCTCGTCCGAAATCCCCCTGTAGGAGGACAGGCCCGACTCAAGCCTACCAAAGAATGTTCCAAGAGCCTGTGCGCCGCGCTCTCCACGCTCCGAGGCGGCGACGACAGGGGCGAATATCCCAGGGGGAGGGCAATGCGCAATGCATGCGTCCAGGTGCGCCGATGATCCGTGTCCTCGAAGAGGCTCGGGGGCGAGTGCGTGTGGTGCCCGCCCCTGGGCTCCTCGCCCCCGTCGTCGCCGCCGAGCGGTGCGCCGCGCGCGCCACGCGTGCCGCCGCCAGCTCCAGCCAGGATGCCGGCTCGGGGCCTGGCTGGGGTCACTGGGGCGATCTAGGGGCCAGACTTTCCGTGCCAGCGGGGGGGGGGTTTTCGCATGCGTCCGCCTGTTCTCAGTACCGTTTAACCGACCCGCATCCCCAGCCTCATCCCTCTCGAGACCCTCACCAAAGTACCACCCCAGTTGGGGATACACCCCTCGAAGCTTGAAGGGAACGGCCCATATCCCCATCTGGGGGGGGCAAATCGGCCAGTTGGGGCCAGGCCACGCCGCTGGGCATGGGGATCGGTTCAACGATACTCATGTTCATGTCGTCACACCCGGCAGAAGGGCCGTGCCCCATGGGGAGGCGCATTTCTTGACGCGACGCGAATCCCTACCAGTCCATCCAGCCATTCTAGTTTGATCCCTAGACGAGGAACTTGGTGACATCTTGGGACTCCCGGGGGCTTCCCTTGTAGTCCTGTTGGAAGCTTTTGGGCCCCTCTTACGTAGGACTCTGTTGGGAGGGGCCTCTCCGAAGGAAGGGGCCCAGAGGCTTTGGGGGACAACGGCGTCAGTGGGGGCGGTCGCATGGCCTTCCAGTCCGCCCCACAGGGGGCCTAAGCTACTGCGCCAATGGGGACGTTCGCATGCGTCAACTTGTTCATCTTGTTATACCCCTCGAACGCCTGGTGCCCCAGATGACGCCGCAAGTACAGAGTCATGAACAAAATACGGCCGCTACATTTACGCCATGCGCAAGGCTTGATTCTGAGCTTGGCTAAGTTTACGTGTCGCTGGGGCCCCGAGGGTGAGTCATTTTGTTTCGAGGTTTGTAGCATGTGTATGTGTGTGATGCCGCCTAGTTCCAGCTAGTGAAGAATCCGAGTTCGTAGATTATCAATGTTCGGCATATGGCGCAAAGCCGCGTCAAACTAATTCAACAGTTTCCTGTCAAAGTCACCGGGAGGTCTGACAGTCTGCTCAGGTTTTGGGGAGACCTTACCCTCGCAGCCTGGTGGTCCCCACAGAGGTGCCAGGTGACACTCGTGCCCCTCCCCTGTTTTAGGTCACAACTCTTGGGAGGCTACATTCGGCACCGGTCTAGCGAGAACGCCCGGGAAACCCTGGAGAATCCGGGAATTTGGTGTCCAGTGCTTTTTCCCTACCTAGGCTCTGCCTAGAAGGGTTCTTACTCTCTTAGCTTAAAGGGGCCGGGCAGTACAACACGCCCCGGGCGGTTCCCCCAGTCCCATGGGAGCGGTTCCCCCCAGTCCCCTGGAAGCTTTAGCTTTAGCTTTAGCTTTAGCTTAGCTTTAGCTTAGCTTTAGCTTAGCTTTAGCTTAGCTTTAGCTTAGCTGTAGCTTAGCTGTAGCTTAGTTTTAGCTTAGCGTTTCGCTTAGCTTTTCGCTTAGCGTTTAGCTTAGCTTTTCGCTTAACGGTTAGCTTAGCTTTAGCTTAGCTTTAGCTTAGCTTGAGCATAGCTGTAGCTTACATTTAGCTTAGCTTTAGCTTAGCGTTAGCTTAGCTTTAGCTTAGCGTTAGCTTAGCTTTAGCTTGGCTTTAGCTTAGCTTTAGCTTAGCTGTTGTTCAGCTTTAGCTCAGCTTTAGCTTAGCTTTAGCTTAGCTTTAGCTTAGCTTCAGCTTAGCTGTGGCTTAGCTTTAGCTTAGCTCCAGCTTAGCTTTAGCTTAGCTTCAGCTTAGCTTTAGCTTAGCTTTAGCTTAGCTTTAGCTTAGCTTTAGCTTAGCTTTAGCTTAGCTTTAGCTTAGCGTTACTGATACTACTAATGCTGCTTTCCTAGGGGTTCCAACTCCTAGGTAGGGTCGCACTGGGATAATTAACACTACAGCCGAAAGTCATGCCAAGAAACATCCTGCTTACCTCCAAGGTGCCCTGGGTTTCTTGGTTTTCGATGGTTTTGCCATGGAAAGCGTGACGCTCCCACACCAGAAATCAGTGGACGTCCTGGGGTCTCAGGGTTGGGTTTCTTCTGTGGAAGGCTTCTTGTGGTCGAGCTCCCACTGCACCACCATGAGGTCCACGCTTGGAGTGTCATTGGATTTCGTCCTGCCAAATAATTCGGGGGTGGCAAAGAGGGGGGTGATGATTAGGGGGGGGTGGATATCATGGTGTGGGCTATGATATTTCCCCAGGTCTCATTGCGCCTCTTCTTGTTTCATTACGTCCCTGGCCCCCCCGCTGGGCCGCGCACATGCCGCCGGTCATGATTTTCACCCCCGGCTCTTGAACACCCCCCTCTTGGCCGCTCCCGAATAATGCTGCGCCCAATGACCCATGGGAGAGGAGCGCGCGCCCCCCGAGGTCAGGAGAACTGGGCCGAGATGATCGAGGCCAACACGCGGCCTGCCGGCACAAGCCGGGCTGGTCCGGCCTGCCCCTGCCGACGCGCGGGTGTCCATCCCACTCGCTCCCCGCGTTTGGGGCAGGTGTCTTCCTCCTCCCCCATCCTCCCCCCCCCCTTTTTTTCCCTGCTCCTCCCTTCCCCACCTCCTCCCTCCTCCCTCCTCCTCCTCCTCCTCCTCCTCCGCCTCCTCCTCCTCCTGAATCTACTACTACTTCCTTCCTCCTCCTCCTCCTCCTGCTTCCCTCCTCCTCCTCCTGCTCCTCCTCCTCCTCTTCCTCCTCCTCCCCCGTCTCCAATGGAGGCTCTCTGGTTAACGCACTCTCGAGGGTGGGATGGGAGGGGCTCTCCTTGCGCTCTTTTGGTGATCTTGGAGCCATCTTGGGCGCCCAGGGGCCCATTTGACGCCCATTGGCCACTGGAGAACGGTATGTGTGGTTTCATGTGCTTGTCCTCTTGGGGGCTGCCTTTGGAGGCTCCGAATCCATTTGGGGTCGTCTTTGGGCAGTCTTGCGGCCTCTTGGAAGCATGTTGGAGGCGATAGTTACATCCCCGTTGCGAGAGTGTCTTCATTTTGACTACCAGGACACGTCTGCCCGACTTGGCGAGAAGTCGCGCGGGGGTAATTTGATCGCTGTGATTTCATACGTGATATATATATATATATATATATATATATATATATACATAGCGATTTTCGACCCATCCCGCCACCGTGACTGGGTTGTGGGTCAGAGTCCTCGTCGATGCATCTTGGGGTCTCTTCGCAGGGCTCTCGGTGCCCTCTGTGGTGGCAGCTTGGACTCCTCCTGGGAGCCTTTCGGGGGCTTCTTGCGGGCCTCCTGTGGGTTTTCTGGGGGCCTCTTGGGGAGTCTCTCGGGGGCCTGCCGGGTGCCTCTTGGAGGCCTCCTAGGGGCCTTGCGGGGCGGAGAGCTCGAAAGGTCGGTTCGTGTTTTCCCTCCGGGACTCTCTTGGGGCGTTGGTGCTGCCCTGCCGAGCCGTCTTGGTGGCCTCTTGGGCCATCTTAGGAGCCTTTTGGGAGCGTCTCGGGCACCTCCTTGGGAGCCTCTTGGGCCCTCCGGGGGTGACCTCGGAGGCCTCTGGGGCCGTCTTGGAGCGTGTTTGGAGCACCGCAATGGCGGAGACGCCCAACTCCGTCAAGCATCTCACGACAAGCTATGAACTATGCCTGCTGGGGCCCTTCGGGCCTGCGCCCTTTCTTTTGCAGGTCGGGCGCGCGGCCTTCCCTCGGCTGGCCGTCGGGGCTGCGTGGTGGATGTGGAGACCTCCTCCTCCTCCTCCTCCTACTCTGAAGTCGTGCCTGTCCCCCTACAGGGAGATTTTCGAAACAAAAATACAGAATACCCCAACTATAGCCAAAAAATATGCAACAAATAGTCTGGGACAATTTTTTTTCAATATTTGTTGACCATTCTGGAATATGTTTTGGGTGTTCTTGATTTTTCGTCGAAGATCCCCCTGTAGGGGGACAGGCCCGACTTAATCCTACTCCCACTTTTGATGGGCCCGTTTTCCACCACCACCACCACCATAAGCTGGAGAGGGGGAGGAGGAGGAGGAGGACGGGGGGGAAGCCGAAGAGGAGGAGGAGGAGGAGGAGGAGGAGGAGGACCCCCTCCCCCTCCAACTTCTGGTGGTGGTGGTGGAAAACAGTCCCATCAACTTTGCTCCCTCCTTTCCCTTCACGTTATCCCCCGATGAACCACGACGTCCGGCCAGACAAAGGACGTCGATGGCATTGTAGCTCCGCAGCTGTAAGTCTAGGCCTCATGCAGTCGTGCTCCGACTGGCGCACGGGGCGAAGGACGCGCAGCTTCCGCCCTTCGGGTCCACCTCTCCCGACTGCAAATAAAAAAGATGCCCCGAGACGCCGCCAAGAGGGCTCCTGTTGTTGAGCGCTGGCGGTACATTCGGCCCCGTGGACATCAAACTGACGGCTTGAACAGCTCGTGAGGCTTCACATATGGCTCCCAAATAGCCTGAAGACCAGCCCAGAACGGCCCTAGAGGCTCCAAAGAGGACCCGAATAGAGCCCCAGGAAAGCAACACGAGAGCTCCAGGACCATTCACATATCGAAGATTCTAGCCGTGGTCAGCGGCCTGGGCGCCTCACAGACCCCATGATTGCCACATGAGGCCCCGAAGGGCGTCCAAGACGCCCCCAACATCCAGGGATCGCCCAGGGGGTTCTCATGGACCCAGTAGTCATTCAACGATGCCATCCCACTGGCCTTCACAAAGACGTTTGCCGCCTCGCGGTCCCAGCCGTGCTAGCTCCTACGAAAACGACATTGCCACCCGACAGCATCAAGAGCAGCTCCTCTCATCGAATTGCTCCTCATTCGACGCAGCATTGCCTTCCGACGCTGTAATCTGGGAGGATCCTGAGATGCTTGGAAGCCCCCCCCCCAGGAGTTTCCCAGGGCGACGCGCAAGGTGAGGGGAGAAGTGTTCTGACGTGGGGCAGGGGGAGGGGTAACCCCCCTCCTAAGGGAACCAACGAGGTTAGAATAACGCGTTATAGTACGTCCGCCCAGAGTGCTCATGGGGCTAGAGGGGCGAAGCTTGGACGTCTTGTAGAGCGCTGCCAGACAACTAGCAATCACTCTGACGCGCCCCAGCGCGCTGGGGGCACGGTGGCGTATAGATAGATCTTGAGCCGGGCGAGGGTGGGCTCGGCCAAGATGAGTGGCAATGAGTAATTGACGGCTTCCTTCTCGCCCAGATCGCGTGGGCGGCTCCCTGCGACACCGCAAAGTCGCTGCTCTTTCGATGCCTCCTGTAAGAACGCGCCTCGGCACCGCCACTGCCCGCCCTCCGCGGCCAAGCCAGGCTCGACGCGCTGTTCGCGGGAGCCTTCGCGTCGACGGAGAATTTGAGCCAAGCCAGCGAGGACCTGCAGGACAGCCCTTTTGTGTGCAGTTCCATTATTTCGTCGGGATGGAAGCTTGATAGGGGGCAGGGGAATGCGGAACCGCTGCACATGTCCACGCGCTGGCGGCGTCCGAGAAGGCACAGTCCTGCATAGTCGATGAGCGGATGTTGCCCTGTGTGTTGCGCTTCTTTCCCTAATCAGCTTGTCTGTACGGGGAGCGCCGGATCGGGAATCGGTCAAGCGCTGTGATTTCTTGTGGTTTCTTGTCGTCATGTCTTGGCATGAGTTTGAACATTACAGTTGGTAGTGCCATGACTAGCAGTATTGGCATGCAGATTGTAAGTGCTTGCGGTAGTGGCAGTTGTAATATTATTCCTATGTGATATGATTCGTGTGCCCGCTAGTCTGTGTAGAAGTTACAGTAGTAGCATTCGCCGAAGCCTTAGTAGTGCATGTATTGAACGGCGTGGGTGTCAATTACAAGTAGGCATCTCAGTATTCGTTATAACATCAGCATTGGTATGTGTACTCAGTGTCCGTACAGTCACAACAGTAGCATTTGTTAGCCTTCGGCCCATCCCGCCACCGTGCCTGGATGTTCGTTGGGATCTCGTGGGAGGCTTCTCGGGCGCCTCCCCGTCGCAGTTTTGAAGCCCCTCGGTGGCAGTTTTGGGGGCCTCCGTTGGGCAATTTGGGGGCCTCTTCGGGCGTCTTGGGGGCCTCTTGGGGCCTCCTGGGCGCCTCTGGGGACCTGACCTCCTGCGGGCCTTTTGGAGCGGCAGGCGCGGATTTTCGCTTCGTGCTCCCTCTCTTTCGCCCCTTTGTGGGGCCGTCTCGGTGCCCTCCTGAGCCGTCGTGGGCGCCTCTTGGGGCCGTCGTGGTGCCCTTGTTGGGCCGTTTTGGCGGCCAACGTGGAGGCCTCTCGGGCCGTCTTGGGGCAATCTTGGGGACCTTTTTGGGCCGTCTTGGGGCGTCGGGACTCCGAAAGGGCGAGAAAGCCAAAAGCCGTCAACCACCTAAGGGAAATGCATGATCTGTTGCCGCTTGGGGCCCTTTTGGATGCCTCTTAGAGCGCCTTGGAACCCTCTTGGGCCGTCTCCCTCAGCCTCTTGGACCGTCTTCGGGGCACTTTGGGGCCCTCTTGGCCCGTCTTGGCGACCTCTAGGGCCTGAAGCATTCGTGCGGGAAGCCGCGGCGGAGCCCAGAGGGCACGCGACAAGCCCCGGCAGATTTCGCAGTCTGGGGTCGGGGCCCCGTAGCGATACCTCATGGCTGAGGACAGGAGCTCCAGGGATTAGGCGAAGGACCTGAGGACACGCCCACCCCGTGCCCAGAAGCAGAGTAGCGCAGTTTCCGTTTTCGTATTACTAGCATCGCCAGTTAAAGTACTATAGAGTTGAAATCTTCGTGAGGTGTCCCATTTGCAGTCGGTTTTGTATTGAGTAGCGCATTGTCGTCTATACTAGTACTCAGGTTCTTCGCGGTATTGGTAATCTGCCGACGAATAAGTACTAGTAGAGTTAGTATTAGCAGTAGGAATAGCAATGTGTAGTCTTAGTTTTGTTCGTAGTTCATGGCAGTAGTAGTTGTAAGGGCCAGGATGTTGACAGTTGGCCCTCTGTGGAAAGCTGTCTACGGTCTTCTGCCGCAGGGGTGTCATTATGTTTTGGCCTCCGGTGAGATCAGTCATCTTAGCGAAGGACCCAACCATATGCAGTTGCGAGTACCGTCGCTGTGAGTATCACCTTGGTGGAACCTCTGATGGGACCACGAAGCGCTCGAAGGGTATGCCGAAATAGGACGGGGCGGCCATGCGGGCATTGCCGCTGAGGCTTTAGATAGAGCCCCCAACGGGGCTACGAAGCGTGTGAGGGGTGTGCCAAATGGGGCGGGGCCGCCATGCGCGTGCTGTCACTGGGGCTTCCGGTGGAGCTCCCTACGAGACCACGAGGCGTGGCATGCGGGCCTTGGCACTGTGGCCTTCGGTGGAGCTGCCTGTGGGGCCACGAAACGTTTGAGGCGTGTGCCGAGACGGGTGGGGCGGCCGCGTGCTGTACCCCCCCGATGGTGCTACGAAGCGTGTAGCGGGTGTGTCGAAAGGAGCGGGGCGGCCGCAGGTGGCACGACCCCTTGGGGCCCGAGGCGGAGGTCCCCGCGCGGGCACGAAACGTGCGATGGGTGTGTCGAGTTAGGATTCCTCCTTCTGTCCCCCCCCTCTGTTAACTCAAGCTTCGCGCGGCCCGCTTAGCTTCGACCGGAAGAGGTGCGCTCTCGACCCGCGAATCAAAAAGTGTGTCGAGCTAGAAATGTCGGCCGCATGTGCTACACCCCCCTTGTGGCCTTCGGTGGGGTTCCCTCACCGTGGAGCCGCGAAGCGTGTGAGGGGTGTGTCGAAAAGGGTGAGGCGGCCGCATGGTGTGCACCCCACTGGGGCCTTCGGTGGAGCTCCTTACTTATTGGGCCACGAGGCGTGTGATGGGTGTGCCGACATGGGTGGGGCGGCCGCATGTGCTGCACCACCCTGAGGCCTTAGATGTGATCCTTTTGCTGGGGCCACGAAGCGTGCAAGGTGTGTGCCGGAATGAGTGGGGTCGCCGCGTGTGGTACACCCCCTGGCGCAATCGGTCGAGTCCCCGATGGGGCCATGAAACGTGTAAGGATTGTGCTGAGTTGGGTGGGCGCCGCATGTGGTTACACCCTCTGTAGCCTTGTGTGTGCTCCTATAGGGGCACGGAACGTGTGAGGGGTGTGTCGAACTGGTTGACATGCGGAGGCCGGAGGCAATGATGTGAGAAGCGAAGGGGGCAGCGGGTCGGGGATGCGGGGTGTTATCTTTTCAAACGAGGACCCAGCACTTCAGGATGGCTGGGAAATAGACATCTTCGATCACGGAGGCCCCACGTGAATACTAGCGTCACCATGCGCGTGGGCATTCGCTGTCGTCTAGGAGATCTGGGGCCACGACGTACCATGCTTCTCAGTGCCTCTCCCGTTTCAGACTCTGCCCTCGCTTGAATTGCCAAGAGGAGCACGTCCACAACATTGTATTCTCGTTGGACATGTTTCCGCAGATCTACGCCGATACCCTGTCCGTGCTAGACCGGACTGGGAAAGGTCATCCGTCACAAAAATATACACAGGCACCCTCCAGCGGATTGTTCTTGAGCCTGATGGGGAGGGCGGCGGTGTATATAACCCACCACTAAGCCCTAAGGATGTTACACACCACCAACCTCTCTTGAAGGCACAGGGAGAGCTCGCCGGCGGGCGTCTGTGCACGAATGTTCGTGGCGCAGGCAAGGAGCTGCGGAATTACATCACCAACATGCAGAGGGCCATGGCGAGGCGGGCCGGGCGGGCCGGGCGCCGTGGTTGAAGCGGTGGCGAAGCGTCTTGGCTCGCCTATAGCCCTACCAAACAATGTTATAAGAACCTGTTGTGGTTTCCACGAAATGTTCTTAGAACATTTCTGGCGGAGCCTGTCTTATTTTATCACATCGGGCTTATGCTCTAAGAACATCGTTTTCGTTCTTAGAACATGTTTGGGTTCCAAGAACATTACGTGGTAGGACTATAGAAATGCCGGGACGGTCGGTCCCTGCTCAAGTGGTGGGGGTGGGAGGGCTGGAGCGCGAGCCAGGCCGACGGGAGGAGGGCTGGGCCGATGCGGCCCCCCACCCGCGCCGGCGCGGGAGCGGGAGTGGCCCAGTTCGGGCTGGCCTCGGGCACCGACGGTTATGTCGGGCGTGTCCCCTTACAGGGGGATTTTCGACGAATAATAATTCAAGCCAAAAACAAACAACAACAACAAAAAAACAAGAAGGTAAACAAATATTCAAAAAATAGTCCCCAGACTCTATTTAGAGCCTGTTTCGATTATTGTTGGGTTTTTAATGTTTCGTCGAAAATCCCCCTGTAGGGGGACAGGCCCGACTGAAACCAGCGGAAATGCCTCTGGCCGAGGGGGCGGAGGCAGGGGCGCCTGGCCGCACCGTGCCGCCGCCGCGACGCCCTGCTGGACCTCGCCGCCCGCGCGCGGAGCTGGGCGGCGTGTGCGGCTGAGGGGGGGGGGGGTCGAGGGCCTCGGGCGGTGGCGACGGGGGCGGGGCGGGGGCACGATGTGCGCGCACGGGAGGAGGAGCGGGCGGGGGCCGGGGCGCCCTGCCGGGCCGGGCCGCCGTCGCGGCGCGCCGTGCTGGACCTCGCCGCCCGCACGCGGAGCTGGGCGACGCGTGCGGCTGAGGGGGGGGTCGAGGGCCTCGGGCGGCGGCGACAGGGGCGGGGCGGGTCGGGGGCGGAAAGGAGGGGGGTGATGACAAGGGGAGGGTGGATTTCACGGCGCCTCTTCTTATTTCATTGCGTCCCCGGCCCCCCCGCTGGGCGGCGAACATGCCGACGGTCATGATTTGCACCCCCCCCTCTTGGACGCCCCCCTCTTGGCCGCTCCCGAGCGGGGGCACGATGTGCGCGCCTGCATCGGGAGCCGCGGCACGGTCATCCTCGCGCTCGCCCGCCTCTCGGGGTCCGGCACGACGGTGCTCTGCACGCCGGTCCTTGGGGGCAGCACTGCTCGGGGCGTCTTGCTCGCCCGTTCGTGGGTTCGCGAGCGTGGAGGCGACCCTGGAGGGACCCTGGCATCGCAGCGGCAGCGCTACAGCGGGAGGAGGAGGAGGAGGAGGAGGAGGAGGAGGAGCAGGAGGAGGAGGAGGAGGAGGAGGAGCCTCCGTGCGCGCTACAGCGGCGGCGCGCACACGTGCGCCAAGCAGGGAACACACACATATCATGCCGCAGTGCGGCGAACGGCCCGGGGCACGGCAGGAGGAGGGACCCCCCCTGGAGGGGTGGGAGGCCCTTGGGCCCCATGCCGACGGGAGAGGGGCGAGGGGGGAGGGGGAGAACGGGTGGCGCTATGCAGGCACAGGACAGGGGCGAGGGGCGAGGGGCGAGGGGGAGAGGGGCGAGGGGCGAGGGGGGAGGGGGAGAACAGGTGGCGCTATGTCCGTGCTCGATTGGGTCTCTTCTAGCCCTCAACTGCAAGGAGAAGAGGAGCCCGCGGGGCCGGCCTCGAAGGGCAGGGTGAGGTGGCGCACCCACGGAGCGACGCGCTGTTTGGCTCGGGCACGCAGGCGGCAGGAGGGAAAGCGGGAGGCAGGAGGGGGGAGAGGAGGGGGAGGCTGGGAGAGGTGGGCGCGCGATTTGTTGTGAGGATCGTTGGCCTCAAGACTTCGGGGCTTGCTCAAGGATGGCGTTTTCAAGACAGCTTGTTTTGCCTCCAGGGCAGAAACAACATTGCCGTCGTCCACGTCTCGAACTTTACCACAGAAGTGTTTTTGGGCTCCCGGACCTCCAGAGCGCTCTCCCACGCGCCCCCCTGACACGCAATAGGTTTAACAATTTACCCCTGAACCGCGCGCCCAAGTTTTAGGGTTGATCTGTATTTCCCCAGGGGGGGTGCAGTCGGTTCATTCGAATGAATGTACGTTTGATGTCTCGACCGTCGATCGGAGTCGTGCTTTCGCGGTTCTGCAAAGGTTTTGGTCGTCTTGGTGATTTCGCACCCTTTTTTCGGCAAGTGCGTTTCTGAGGCAATGTGGGCGGCGTGGTTGTCTTTGAGCGTTTTGCCGAAGCACTGCGTGCCACAGAGAGGGACGTATCGTTTTGGGGTGATCGGGCGACAGGTCGAGCCTCGAGGCCCCAAGGGTCGCACCAGACCGCCCAAGTATCATGCAATGCCGCCCCCGGGTCCCTCGGAACTTTGGGGGCCCCGGGAACGGCAGGGCCGTTTTTTCACCGTTTCCCAAAAAATGTCCCTTGAAAATGGAAACGGCAAAAAAACGGCGACGGGAAACGGCAAAAAAACAGCTCCAGGATTGGAACCGGAGCCGGAACTGGTTAAAAAACGGCGACGGAACCGGTAAAAAAACGGCGTCGGCACCGGCAATAAAACGGCAAAACTGAACCGGTAACAAAAACGGCCTTGTCGTTTCCAGGGCCCACTAAGCGCCCATGTACCATGCAATGCAGCCCCCGTGGCCCTCGGAAGACATCTCAGGCAATCCCAGAGCGGCCGACCAGGGCAAAGGGAGAACTCCGACAGACCCTCATCGCGCGCTTTCCGCGCCAGGTCCCGAGGACTGCGCGAGCGCGGGCCCGTGTCTGCAACCATAGCGCTTGCGCAGGGGTGCCCGCCGAATGGGGGGCCTGCTGGAGTGCTCTCGGGCTCTCATGGGACTTTTTCTTGCGTCGAGACTCCAGGACGGCTCAAGAGTGGTCCAAGAGTGCACCACAGCCACCCCAGGCGGACCCCAGACCCACCGAAGTGGTTTCGCGAGCACTCCAAGGATCCAAAGATGGCCCCAAGAGGCCTCAGGTGAGCCAGCTCGGAGCCCCAGGGCGCGCCACGAGGGCTTCAAGAGGATCCTACGAGCGCCTTCCCTTGGGCCTTTCGCGGGGGCGCTTGGGCTCACAGCCCGCGCCACTCCGTGCAGCTGCGTGCCCCGCTTCGAAGCGACCGCCGCACCGCATGGGGACCTCCTGAGCCGCTCAGGGGCGATGTGCGGGCCCTGCGCGACAGGTGGGACTCAGGAGGGAAACACACACAGACACAATTAATCGTCGATCCCCAAGAAAATATAGGAAAATCTGGGAAGTGGTGGGGAAGACAAACACCCAAAAAATATGGGAAACTATGCGGAATATTTTGATTCGTGTGTATTTATTTGTGTGTCCCAGGGTCCCTTCAGGGACGGCGTTCCAGACTCGCCATCGTCACTGTCGGGCTAGGAATGCGCACCGGGCCTGCTTTGCCATGGCACGGGTCGGCGTCCGACCACCCTCCTGGGCTGTGAGGCGAGAGTGCCGTTCGTTGCGCGCCAAAGGGAGCTTTTCGTCCTGGGAGTGTGATGCTCGCTTAGGGAGACCTTCCTGGGGCCCACCTGAGGGATCCGTTCGACTCCAGTCCGACTCCAGTCCGGTTCGAGTCCGCTTCGAGTTCGACCCAAGTGCGACTCTGTATCGGCTCAGGGTCGACTCGGGGTCGAGTCAGGTGGACGGACGTTCGACGCAGCTTTGACGCACGAGTGGAGCGAGTGTCTCCAGGAAGGCCCCCAGAGTCGGCATTCCATTGGAGGGGGAGGTTTCGTCGTTGTCAGGCGAGAGTGCCAGGTGGCTCGCGCAGTACAGGGTTCTACAGCGCGCGCGGACCATGGAAGGGGTCGTCTCCGTTGTGATGTGTTGTTCTGTTGCGCGATTCTCGAATATGACAAGTGTTGGTTCCCATGATATGTATGGCTGCGAAATACTTTCAGTATTGAATTGTATTCGACTTTTCAGGGGTATCCTCTGGAGTCCCTGTGGCCATCCCGAGCCGTCTTTTCGTGATTATGAATTTGATTGAGGATTGTTTGGAGATGCACCTAACCATATTTGATTGTGTTGTGCAATATTGTAGGCCATCTTGGGATTTCCCGGAGTGTTGATCCCTCCGCGCTTCACACAGTGACCACCCAGGGGGGCCAATAGATAAGCCCTGGGACACAGGAAGGCCAAGATTACTGATGTGATGAACTTGGGGGCGCGAACGCCCCAAAGTTCATCACATCAGTAAGCTGGGCCCAGGACGAGGTGGCATCCCGCGGGCCCGTGGGGTCCCAGAGTGGTCTGAACAACTGGCTGTTTCCTCTGTCTTTGGCGGGCCCACTGATAGTAAGGGGCCATCAGGCGACAATTGTTACGAGCGCGGCTCAGCGGGCAAACTGTGGCAGAGGCGCCCGGGGAGTCCCAAGTACCCCAAGGTATTTTGCTTTTGGATGTTCCAACATGCGCATGAATACGCCGTTTTTTTCACCCCTGCCTCTCCCCCTCCTCTCCTTAACCCGTCCTCCCCTCCTCCGTCCTCCCCCCTTCTGTTCCTTCCCTCCTTCCCTCCCCCCTCCTCTCCCTGCTTTATGAGCGCAAGCGAGATCCAACGCGCGCCCGAGCATGAACCGCTTCCCCGAGCGTGACGAACGCAGCCGAGCGCGGGGCATCTCGGAGTATGTGGGAGGGTGGAGTGGAGGGGGGGGGGTGAGGAACAGGAAGAACAAGGAACGACTGATAAGGGGAGATGCGAGGAGGAGGGAGGGCCAAACTGGAGGTGTAAGAACAAGAGGGAACACGCTTGATTTGTTCTGCAGCAGCGCATGCGTTCTCAAAAATAATAGTAGCTATTCGTATGAGATGGGACACACACCAGAGTTGAAACGGGACCAGGGAAGATACTGAGCTGTCTTGAGGTCGTCATGTGGTCCTCCTGGGTCTTCTCTGGCTCCCCGTGGATCGCCTTTTGGGGTCTCGCGACGGCGACCAGTGTGGCCTTGAGGGTGCGGCTGCAAAAGGGCCCTCAGACCCCCAGGGGGTCACCCAGAGGCCTCTCAAGTGGGCATATAATTGTTGGGTTCTCTTGCCTCCGTCCCCTCCCCCCTGCGCCTTCAAGTTTCGCCGGGATGGTTTTGGAGAACGTTTTGGGCGCAACGAGAGATTACCAAATAGCTCCCAGGGGAGCCTCAAAAGATCCAGGAGGAAGCCCCAAGAGGGCCGCAGCAGGGGCCAGTTCATGCAATCGCACAGGGGCCTATATACACATGCGGGAGGGCGGATTTCAAATCGTTGTCGAACCAGCGAACATACGGTTGCTTGCCCATGGCACAACAGAGTCACAGTGACCCACACGTTCGCATCCAATTGGGTATATTATGTAAGTGCAAGCGCGAGTGTTCTATGATGGGTAATTTTCTCAACAGGGGTCCCGCGACCTCATAGCCTGTGCCCCATGCCTTGGGTATAAGTGTTATTTTCCGATCCTTTGTTTTCCTTGTTGCGTTCTCCTCCAGTCCTCCTCCACTGCCTCCCTCGCCCCACCCCATCGTTCCCTTTCATCCCTTCCATCCTTCGCCAAATCTGTCTCCCAAACTTCCTGTTTTCCCCTGCCTGGCTAACGCGACTCGTGGACGCACCATTCTGCAAGGATCCCTCGTCGCCCCAATTCTGCCAGATGGGTGATCGAACGGCGGTGTTTCTCATCGATGTGCGTTTTCGGGCTCGCCCGTCGAAGTCTGACCACGCGGGTCTTGGCCCAGCAAAGGCTCAACGTGTTGTTGGATCGCGGCCGGAACTCGCGCGTTCTGACCCCCCCCCCGCGTTCGATGCGATCTGCCGAAACCAGCAACGCCAATCCTGCCGTTCGGAGATCCTGCCGGGGGACGACCGGCTGGTGCTTGGCAGCGCACGATGTGTTTTTTGTTCAGTTGAGAGGCGGAAGAATAATTACCCCAGTGCGACCCTACCTAGGAGTTGGAGCCCCTAGGAAAGCAGTATTAGTTGCTATGCTATGCTATGCCATGTTATGCTGCGCCATGCTATGCTATGCTAGGCTAGGCTATGCTAGGCCGCGCTATGATATGCTATGCAATGCTATGCTATGCTAAGACATGCTATGTAATGCTGCGCTGTGCTACGCTAAGCTGTGCTATGCTATGCTAAGCTGCGCTATGCTATGCTATGCTATGATAGGCTATGTTATGATGCGCTATGCTATGCTATGATATGCTATGCTTGGCTATGTTATGCTATGCTATGCTAATGCAGCGCTGCGCTATGCTATGCTAAGGTAAGCTAAGCTAACCCTCTAGGCAGAGCCTAGATAGGGACTTACACCCATGCTAATGCTTTGCTTTGCGTTGCGTTGGTTGTGCTGTGCTTTGCTGTTGCTGCTGTTGCTTTGCCTTTGCTTTGTTGCTATGCTATGCTATGCTTTGCCATGCTATGCTGCGCTTTGCTATGCTGTGCTGTACTGTGCTGCACTATGCTATGCTATGCTATGCTATGTTATGCTGCGTCATGCTATGCTATGCTGGGCTATGCTATGATATGCTGTGCTGCGCTGTGCTACGCTATGCTGTGCTCTGCTATGCTATGCTAAAGTTCTGCGAAGCTAAGCTGAAGGTAAGCTAAGCTAAGGCAAACCTGAGCTAAGGCGAAGCTCAGCTAAGCTAAGATGACATACGCTAAGCTAAGATGAGATAAGCAACGCTAAGCTAAGGGAACGTAACTGGGGGAACCGCGGGGCGGATCCTGGGGGAACCGCTCGGGGCGATTTACACTGCCCGGCCCCTTTTTAAGATAGAGAGTAAGAACCCTTCTAGACAGAGCCTAGGTAGGGAACAGGGTGCGAGCCCCGAGAAGGGCACTTCAATCGAAAATTATGCTATGCTATGTTATGCTAATGCAGCGCTGCGTTATGCTACGTTAAACTCAGGTAAGCTAAGCTAAGCTAACCCTCTAAGCAGAACCTAGGTAGGGAATTACAACCATGCTATGATATGCGATGCTGCGCTATGCTACGCTATGCTATGCTATGTTATGCTGTGCTCCGCTATGCTAAAACTCAGCGACGCTAAACTGAAGGTAAGCTAAGCGAATATAAAACTGAGGTACGATGAAGCTAAGCTAAGGTAATATAACATAAGCGAAACTCAGATGAGATAAGCAACGCGAAGCTAAGGGAACGTCACTGTTGGAACCGCGGGGCGGATACCTGTGGAACCGCCCGGGGCGTGCCCCACTGTCCGGCCCTTTAAGCCTCCGAGTAAGAACCCTTCTAGGCAGAGCCTAGGTAGGGAAAAACACGGTGCCGTCTACACCCGCACTGGCGCGCACATTGCCCGCGCGAGCCCGCGCGTGAGCGCTCTCGTTACCCGCGCGTGGCGCGGCCGCGTTGGCGGCCCCCCGCGCAAGCGTTCGCGGAGGCCGCCGCGCAGGGTCGCCGTGCCATCCCGCGTCCGGCCCCTCTCCGCGTGGGGGCGTGCGAGGCCCCTCTCAGCTTCCAGGGAGGCAGGGAGGGAGGGAGGGAGGGAGGGAGGGAGGGAGGGAGGGAGGGAGGAGGGGGAGGAGGAGGGGGAGGAGGAGGAGGAGGAGGGGGAGTCTAAAGGGCGAAATTGGGGGTGGAGGGTGCAGCCTCTCGAGGAGTCTACGAATAATACGTACCATTGGCCTTGGCTGGCGCGCGATGCCTGCCTCTCTCCGCCCCTGGAAGGCGCGGTTTCGGTGCAGTTATCTTATCCATTTCTCGCGCCCCCCACTCGGGCCCCACGTGTTGCCTCGCTATGTCCGCTGGGCCACTCCGCCCATCCACGTCGGATTTGCGTGCCCCTATTCTGGCCCGCGCCTTCGGATCATAACGGCGTGAATTGAGTTGGGGCGCGCTCGTGGCGCCATGCCATCATGTCGTGCGCTCGTCGCGCACTTTCAGCTGCAATCCTTTCCCGTTCGCCGCATCTACTCAAATTATCCTCGCCCTGCCCTTGCTCTCTGCCCGCGTATCCTTATGTATCACGCCTTTCCGGCCGCCCCTTTTTCCCCCTCCGCCTCCGCGCCCCCCCCCCCCATTTGGATATCTCTTCGCCAGGGGGGCGTGGGTCGCAGACCGTTGGGATTTCGATCGGGGGCAGCCTGGTTTCGTTGATCTGCCGCGAGTCGCGCAGGTCCCCTGCTAGTTCATTCCGGAACATGCCCTAGCTCGGTGCCTAAGTCCACAGGCCCCGGAGATCCCCCATTTCTGGGACTGCGCGCGCTCGCGTGGGACGGTTTGCAGGTCAAGAGGTTGGGCAGCGCAACGCGTGGGATTCATGTCGTGTTGCGCCCACTCCTGGTCATCATTCCGCGTAGAGTTGGCTAGGCCGTCTGTCATCCCGAGGTTGTCGGCCGATCTGGCCGTCGCGCTGGAGTCGTAAACGGGAGGCGTGCTGGATATTTGTGGGGGGGGGGGGGGCTCTCTAGGGCGTCTTCGAAACATCGCGCGGGGCTCTCTGCGGCCTCTTGCGAGGGCTTCTCGGGGGCTTCTTGGGGGCATCTATTTTGTTGGGCAAGGGGGGCGTCTAAGAGATTATGTTGGATTTGGGCGTGCTTGTTATATTGGGGGTCAGTTCGGGCTGGAGCGCTCGCGACTGCAGTTCGAGGTCGCTCTATTTGGCCCCGTCCATTTGATGATTCGAGACTTTCTTCGCTGCTCTCTCGGGCCTCGGGGGCATTCTTGGTCGGGTCTCGGGGCCGCCTTGGACGCTCGCCAGATCGAACAGCGTGAACATGCGAACATTTTGCGGAAAAGTTGTTTGTCCATTAACGTTTGCATCGTAGGCCATCCCCTAGAACGTCAACAAACGTTCCACAGGCCCGCAAGGGAACCCCAGGGCAGCCCCATGGTACAATTTGAGGGCACGGTGGACAGGAATTCACAGCCACGCTCCCAGAACGCAGGATGAGTCGCGCAGCAAACGCAAGGAGCGCCAGGCATCTCACCACAGCCCGCGTGAAACAAAGGTAGGGGGCATGTTGAGGATTTGCACAACGGCCGGCACTGAAAATTCGAGAGGGTCCGCGGACCCTCTGTCGAATGCCAGCGCCTCGGTGGCGGATGCGAGCACGTTGGCCTCTCCGGGTAGGAGTGCGAGAGCACATGTGGCGGGTGGAAACGGATGAGTAGGAGGAGGGGGAGGGTTCCCAGGCAGACGGCGAGGAGCAGGAGGAGGAGTATGATTTGAGACAGTCGGGGCGACAGGCGTCGATATCGCAGTGCACAGCTGTTTCAGCATAGCGTAGTTTCGGCAGAGTAGCCCTGCCTTGCACGTCGCCTTCCTGGGCCATGTCGGCTCGCCAGGGCCAGGCGCCTGAGGTGCTGGTCCCCCAGGGCAAGAGGCAGGCGAAGAAGAAGGAGACCAAGGAAGAAAAGGCAGCGAGGTTGAGCAGCGCCGTCCATGCCCTTAACACGAGCATCGATTTCCAGAAGGCGTGCAATTCGATGCGCAACAACCCGGAGGCCACTACGGCAGTGAAGACACACTTGATGAGTCTTGGCATGTGGATCGATGCGTTGCCCTCCGCCGTGAAAGTTGAGGAGGGCGAGTTGGCCGGTCCTAAACGCAGGAAGGTTGAGTTTGATCTGGAAGTGGAAATCCACACGAACTTTAAGCAATGGAGCTCGGTGCCGCCGAGGACCATCAAGATCATTCTGCATTGCCTCGAGCCGATCAGCTTGAACGAGCAGATGCTCAAGACTCTCTGTGGCACAGGGCAGAGAGAACCACCTCGCGATGAGCTCCTGAAGATCCTGGAGTTCGTCACTGGGACCGACCCCTCATCCGACGTCGGCGCCGAGCGGAAGTTGAAGGACATCGTGGAACGCATGAGTGCTCACAGCGAGCTCAAAGGTCGCAGGGGTAAAGAGCTTCAGCTGCCCGTCGATTGGTCCAAATATGGCGTCTACCTCCTGCTCGTGGTTGACGGCGCGGTGATGTTGAAAGGCATGGGCAAGACGGTCCAGATCTTCGATTCCTACTTGATGGGCGCCAAGCGCGACACCTTGTTCGTCGACATGAACTTCAGCGAGGCTCGCGCCCAGGTCAGGTCTACCGCAGTGACCGTGCTCCAGCTCTCGTGCATGATGCTGCTAGGCATTGGCATGGCAACCAAGATCGAGCAGGAGGACCAGCCGAAGCCGTCGCCGAACAAGTACTTGGACATGGTGGGTGCCAGCCGATTGCCTTCGTTCGTGGACGACTGCATCGATGATGAACCTCCGCGTAACAGCATGGCCCTGCCTGTTGGGCTCGCAGAGGACACCCAGGGCGCGCCGCGTGTCATGGTGAAGGCCGAGAACCCGGCAGCCTCGACGTCGGCTTCGGCGTCTGGCGGTGGAGCGCCGCCGATCAAGGCCCCTAGGGCAATTATGCAAATCGTGGCCAATCTGGCCAGGAGGGGGAGGAGGAACAGGAGTGAGAGGGACGCGGGAGATGCGGCGGGGGAAGGAGGGGGAAAGGAACGACGGACCAGGATGAACACGCAGGAGGACAGAGAGGTGGAATGAAGCTTGGCGGGGGGAGAGTGGCGCGCAGGCGCCCACCCAGCACTGCGGATGAGGCTGCGGGGCAGGGCGGACGAATGTTGGGGGAGGGGGCGGCCGTGGCAGAAGGGGGGATTGAGGAGCGTTTTCTTTAGGCACTGGAGAGAATAAATCGCACCATTTCGGATGGCCTGGGCGCGCGATTGCAGCGCAGTTTTCGGCCAGCGTTCCAAAGTACGGCTACAAAACCAAGTGGGGCGGACAAAACCGCCCCCCCCTTTCCCCATCGCGCCATCTACGTTTGTTTCTGCCGGGCTCGAGGGGGGCCGTGTGCTCCGTATCCGCGCGCGGCGTGAAGACGACCAGGTGGGCCTGTGTTGGCCAACTTGCAATGAAACGGAAAATGGCCGCCTGCCAAACACCCCAGGCCTCCGCGATCAGTTTTCCGCCCGCGTGCTACTCGCAGCGGCGCGGCCGAACTACAATCGATGAAATCGGAAATTGTCGTGGCGCTGGGCGGCGTGGAGTTGCTCAGTTATGTGTTTGTGATGGCTGGTTGCGCTAGTGGTTGGTATAGTAGTGTTGGTTTGCGCCGTCTTGTCGGATGGCGTCGCTGGTTGGTTTGGAGCGTTGAATTGGCTGCCGCGCTCAGGTTTTCGATTTCTTTTGATGCTGGTTTGATTTTGGCTCGATGGATCGTCGCGTGTGTTCCTGTGGTCTCCTGTTGTTGGATTGCTGTTTTGTTTGTCGATGTTTTTTCGGTCGTTGGTGTCGTCGTGATGGTTGGTGTCGTTGTGTAGCGTGGCTTCGTGGTGTCAGTGGGCGTCGCTTCGGTCGTTGCAGCCTTGTTGTCGTCCGTCGTTGCGCTTGTCGGTGACATGTTGTCGTGTGGTGTTATGTTGTTGATTGACGTCGGTTTGTTAATCTGTGTCGCTTTGCTGGGTCCGTGATGTTTGTTGGCGCAGTGCTATTGATTGTCGTCGATGCTTGTTGACGTTGCGCGGCTGTTGATGTGGTTCTCGTTTATTCGTGCCGTTCTGTAAGTTGGTGTCGCGTGTAGTTCCGTTGCGGCGCAGCGTTTGCCGTCGTTCGCCACGTTCGCATGTTCAATGAAGGCTTCGGGGGGGTTTCTCGCGCAAGGCATGGCCCCTTTGGGGGCGGAGCTCAAAAACGCCATTGCCCCTGACACAGGCGCAATGAAGCAAGGGCGGCAGTTGCGAGGGAAAAGGGAGCCACAATCGCAACGAACCACAATCCGACACCCGCCCTCCCAACGAGTCTGGGCCAGCCACATTGAAGCGCATATGAGGGCGCTGACGAAATATTCTTAGTTTAAAAAATCGCGGTGCAGCGGAGGCCAGGGCGGGGCGACAGGGCGGGTCGGGTGATTTCCAACGCAAGGGGGAGGGCAGTGAATCGCACGCATTCGTGTTGTGCGTTTTCCTGCGCGCGCGGCCGTGGCCCCAATCCCATCGCGACCAAGTCCGAAAACTATAAAACTATTCCGTCGGCCCCGCGCGGGCGGTTGGGGCCATCGGGCCCCTATCGGCGATCAATGGGCGATTGGGGGTCGATGCGCCCCCCCTCCATGGCTATCCCTTCCTATCATTGCCCCTGAGGAGCGCCCCAGGCTCGCCCTCGTCCAGCTGGCCCCCGCACTCCTGCACGCCCTGCTCACTCGGCGCTGCTCCTCCCCGTCCCTCCCCCACCACCTCATCCTCCCTCGCGCGTTTTGGGGGGGTCGCGCCCTGTGACGTCGGCAGCTTTGTGTTCTATCACTGCGCAGTCAACTGCCCGCCCCTTTCTCCCCCAACAGCTCTGAACGCTTCTCGTGCCCCCGCCAGCGTTTCAAGGAACGCAATCTAGGGGAGCTGCCCTTGTCGGGAGGGGCGTAGAATCATTCAGAGACACCGGGGGGCCTCAGTGAAGTATCGGCTTCTGGGATGCCCTTCGGAGGCGCCTGGGATGTGTCCTGGGGGCTCTTGGTGGCCTCTTGCGCGCCTTGGGGTTTCTTGGGAACTCCTGCGGGCCTCTGGGAGCGTCCTGGGGGCTCCTTGGGAGCCTCCTAGAGGCCTCTTGGCCGTGTCTTGGGAGCTCGCGGGGAGCCTCGGAGGCCTTCCTGGGGCAAGGTCGCGCCAGGCAAAGCAGAGGGGGCCACTGACAGCATCGCCCATGTGGAACCAAACAAATCACCTTTTGGCGCTCTCTTGGAGCGCTCTGGGGGTGCTCTCGGGCGCTCTGTGGACTGCATTGGAACCGTTTGGGCCTATTATGCGGCGCTCTTAGGCCATCCCGGGGCATCTTTGAGACTTCGGAAGACCACCGGAAGCGGAAAGGCGATAAGGCAAACACACTCGCACACATTGTTTATTTCATGGTTGGGAAAGAGTCTAGCCTCTAGAGGGCCTCCTTGGAGGGCGACGTTTTGGAACCTTTCTTGGACCCGTTTGGAGCGGCCTTCGGGCCTCTGGGAACTCCTTGCAAGCCAGCTCGCGCCAACCTCGGACAGCCGGACCGACCCTGGAGGCCATCCTGGCCTTTCTGAGGCCTTCTTGGAGCCATCTTCGGCCATCTTGGACGCTCTGAGTGCTCGCGATCCCCCTCCAGACCCTGGGGGGCGGGGTGGGGCGAGAGGCAAACCCCTCCCCGAAGGGGGAGTGTGCGGTTGGAAGAGAAAGCGTTCCAAGCCATCTACGCCCTGAAGGGCTGGTGGGATTGCCTAGCCGTGCGTCTGGAATCCCCGGGGCCCCTGGTAGAGCCCCGCGTGGTTTTTGTTTACGCGGTTGCCAGCCCGCCAACAAAAAAGACCATGTACTTTCGACCCCCTTCCCAGAGAGCAGGACCTCTTCATATACCTGTTTTACTGTGGACCTCCCGCGGACTGTCGCTTCGGCACGTTTCAGTCTGGCAATTATTGATGTCGCATTTTGTCTCAGGTTTCGGCTCCTCGTGACGTGCGCCATCTCGCAGTTCAGTCGCATAGGAGGTCCGAGCAGGACTTCGCGCCCCCCATTCCAGCCGTGGTCAAAGAGGAGCTTGATGGCGCGGAGAGCCGTCCTGCCTAAGTGACAGCAAAGCCTGTTTTTTTTCCACGCGCTCAGTGCGAGCGCCTCTTCTGTGGGGCGCGCATGGGGCGACCGCCAAGAGTCGGGGCATGCGCAGCAGGCCGCGCTTCCATTCCTCTCGTAGCCCGGGGTGCTCTGCGAATGGGGGGGCCCTTGCTGCTTTTTGGCGGTGGCCATGCGACCAGTAGCAACGAAAAACGTCGTCCTGGTAGGCATCGTCGCGATCACGCGTCTGATCGACCATATTGTCACGGGTCTAGCAAGGTAGCCCACAGTACAGTGCTCGTGGAGCCCAGTGTATGTCGATGTGCTCTGTGGCCCGCTTGGTCTTTCGGCAGTGGCACCCTGGCACATGCGCAGTCGCGGCTCTCGAGTGCAGACTAAATCAGGATGGGGGCCGGAATTTGACCCCCCGACAATGTAGTTTCCCGAGCCCATGCGGAGCATCATCCTTGCAGTGCGCATGAGAAACACGTCGATCAGACATGTGATTCTCGCTGTGTCCTCCCGCCTGCTTCCCTGGGCGATCACATTTGGCAGGCCTCTGCTGAGTATGGCCGTATTCCTGGCATGTGTGATGCTACTACCAGTCAGCACTGGCTCGCAACCGTTGTGACTCAAGTCCGCCTGAAGGCCCAAAGGGGGCCGCAGCGTTTCAGCGTGCCGTGCATTCTTTAATTCGGCCGCGAAGCGCCGAGGAGTTCGACCACCTCCAGCACTGCAGCTGCCCCGATTCGTCGCCCCAGTCGGAGCATTTGTTGTCCACCACTGCGAGTCGACCTGCGTTCCGGCTACCCGCGCTATTGCAGCCGACACCACCGTGGCACCAGGACTGATGGCCATCATTGTGAGCTCGGAGGGGTCCTCGGATTGCGAAGCCCGTGAGCAGGAGCCGCTCTCTTACGTCCCATACTGGCTCGAGTGCAGCGTGCTCGACCGACACGAGGCGCACATTGATATGAAGTACAAGGCATACGTGTACGATGACGGCGGTGCTGCATGGAGTCTCCGAGGGATGTTCGAGCCTCTTGTGCCCGAGCGGGCAAGAAGAGTCAATGTGCACAGAGAGGTCAAACAGCAACGCCTGCCACTTGAAGTCTTCATGTACCAGCTCGGGATCGATTTCGACTCGGAGTATTTCCCGTCCATCCGCCAGGTGGTGGCGAAGGACGATGGAGGCGACAGCATTCGCTTTACAAACAGGGAAGAACCTACAGTGTCAACTCTCGGCTTCTTGATCTGGCAAGTCTGGTGGGCGACAGGCCGACGCAGGAAGGTTGAGCAGGGCCGGGCAGCGGACATGCTCGTCGGTTTCTTGGGCAGGTGCTGGAGAGGCAAACTCTTCGACGATGCTGTTGTGCGAGCTGTTTTGGACGGGGTGGGCCATGAGTGCCCTCGTCGTCGGCCTGACCGTTCTTGTGACCACCTCGCGCCGATCATCGCGAGCCGCGTCAACATTGGGCGCGTCACTTTGCATGGCCTTACAGAGTTGTTGGTCGCATTGGCTTCCCACTACTTGCACTGCCCTGCTGCTTCACGCGCTGTGAAGGCCATATGCCAGCACCTCGCTTCAACCATCAACGCAGCCTTGGGCGACATGGGCCTGGACACGGACAGGCTGAAACACGCGACCAGGGCGGATCGAACAGCACGGCGCCCACGAGCCGATGAGGATTACAAAAAGGCCTTGACAGAAAGAATTGCCAAAAAGAGGCGTTGCCACGGGAAGGCAGGTGTTGTGGACTTGGCAGGCTTCGGAGCGTCGGCACCTAAGCATTGGGATCACCAGGAGATGATGGCCTACCAGAAGGCCGCCTACAGGACCCTCGGCGTAGCCAACGGGGTGTTTTGTCTCCAGGGCGACGGCGCGCGGCTTGGGCAGCCGGCCAAGGAACATCTGCACATGGTGCTCCAGCACAACTCTTCGGACCTCGCGTGTGTATTACCTCCGCAGGACGGCGCGCCCCGGGAGTCAACGGGTTACTTTTTCCGTGTTTTGTGTACTCCCGCCGGCCCCCTTGCCCCGGGCATTCATGCGCCCGTCCTTGCCACCGTTTTCGCCCCGCGCCCTTCTTTCTGCTGCAGCTGCCCCCCCTTCTGGGCGCGATCGGCGCCTGCTTGAGGACATGATAGGGTCGCCCTTAGGGGCCCACCTCGTCTTGTCGGCCCGCTACGCTCTGAGGGGGGTCCCCCCGCGCTCTCCTCCTCCTCTTCCTTCTCTTCCTCCTTCCTTCGTATTCTCCTCCTCCTCCTCCTCCTCCTCTTCCTTCCGTTCTGTTGACCGTCCATACCCTTGACCGGCCTACCCCTAGGCTTACACCTAGGGTTTCCCCTAGGGCTCACCCCCGGGCATACCCCTCGAGGCCTACCCCTAGGGTCCACCCCCAGGCCTACCTCTAGGGCCTACCCCCAGGCGTTAAGCGGACAGGAATGTTTTTTATGCCCACGGCCCAGGGGTAGGCCCTAGGGGTAGGGCTTGCCCCCAGGGCCTACCCTTCGCATTTGAATACCCTTCGGGTCGCATCCTTTTCCTTTTTGCCCTTGCTCGACGAGTTCGGGTGGCAAGGTTTTGCGGATCGTGGCCTTGGGCGCGTGCGTCTGGTGCAGTTTGCATTGTGGCCTCGGGAGCGCGGGTCTGCTTTCGCGCGCGTTGGCGTTGCGACCTGGGGGCGGGGCGCCACCCCGCCGAATCTTTGAAAGAACCGGGTCGATGGAACGGCGGGCTTGTGTCAATGCATTTGGGGCCGCGCCCCCTGAAACACATATCCCCTGCCTGTGCGACGACGTCGCGGCCTCCAGGGCCAACGTCCAGCGCGCTGCACAATGGTTCCGGGCCCTGGGAGAGCTTGCGGAGGTTGTTGTGGCCGTGACCTATTCTTAAAAACATTAAGAATATGTCAGTGGCCCTTTTGGCGGCGCGACATATTCTACAAAAGTAAGAATATGCCAGTGGCCCCTAGAGCGTGCGGGGTCTGTTGTGACATGTTCTTTAAAAATTTAGAACATGTCAGTGGCCCTTTGGCAACGCAACATATTCTTTAAACATAAAAATATGTCAGTGGCCCCTGGAGCTTGCGGGGGCTGCTGTGACCTATTCTTAAAAAATTAAGAATATGTCAGTGGCCCCTTTGGCGGCGTGGCCGTTTGCGCTGGTGATTGCGCTGCTGCATGAGCTGACAGACCGCCCCTGGACGGCGAATATTTTTAGGGTCGCCGTCCTGAAGGGTGGGCCCGCTGTCATTCACGATGGGTCGTGGCCTCGGGATTGCGAGCTTTCGTAGTGTAGAGGGAACCGTGATTCTGTGAGCCCGGACGGGGTGCAATTTCCAAAACGTGGTGACGTTGGGGTTGCGGATTCCGCGTAGTGCGCAAGAGATGTGACTGTGGGAGCGCGGATCCGGCGCATTTGTTCCAGGGGTCGTCGCTCTGGGAGCGCGGCCTTCTGTAAATTTCGAAGGGTCGTGGGCCTGGGAGCCCAGAGCTTGTTCAAGTTGCAATGTGTCGTGACCGTGAGCGCGTGCACGATTAACTTGCGATGGGTAGTATCCTTCAGGGTGTGTGGGGGTCCTTTCTAATTTACATGGGCCACGGGGCCCAGAGATCGCAGCGGACTCCCCAGAGACCGATGATAGGGGAACATGGGGTGCCACGGGGGACGGGTCCACAGGAGGAGCATGATCAAGCATTTCAAACAATTATCGGCGCCCCCATGTCAGCACTGACGCCGACCAGATCTGACAAGTCACTGCGTGGAGGGCCCACTTGGCGGCTGGCGGAAATATTGCCGCGCACCCATCCCACCGGAGTCGGCGTTGCGCGCGTCCATTTGGGTTTGGCGGTGTCCGCAAGACTTCGGCGAAAAAGTACAAGCAATTGTGATGTCTGTAGCCGGGGGGTCGGGCCAGGGTTCAGTTTCAGCTCGGTCCACGTTCGCCGCGTCAGAAGTGAGGGTCAAAGGCCCTCCAAATTCTTAGCCACCCTGACCCCGACAGCCACGCGCATGTGTCCAATCGTAGGCAAGGCCGCGGTAGAGGTGCAATAGTATATTATTGAAACTCAATGGTTCGTTCCTGTATTGTTTCTTTACTATTGTGTTCCAATAATAAAAGAGTTACGGTTTGACCTCGCACCCGCGCAACCGCTAACGAGTGACGCGGTCACGTAGCCTCCCGTGTTCTCGCGCCGGGTTCTGAGCTTTGCGAGTGACGTACGCTTGCATCAAGTGCGTACTATAATGTAGGCATGCTCTGTTGTGTCTTGGCGCAGTTGGGGTTCGACGAAGGTCGATTTCAGTGTGGTCTTAGGTCGGTATCAGGATTGAGCAGGAGAAGCGAGGGTGCGTTTTTTAGTTTACCGTGGGCTCCCTTCCAAGCTCCCCGCTGTCGACGTTTGATCGCTGGGGCGGTTGTCTCGGCGCGCCCAGCTTGTGTATATGGAGTGTTTGTTCGGCGCGGGCCTCATCTAGCCAGAGCGCCCTCGTCGTATATGTAGTGCCCTTCGGCCCGTCACGCTGCCGTGTTTTTGTCGTTCAGCAGGGGCCTCTTGAAGGCCGAATGGGGTCTCTTCGAGGGCTTCCGGGGACCTCCTGACAGATTCGTCGGGTCCTCTTGGGGGCATTTCGGATGCTTCTCGGGTGCCTCTCGGGGGGGGCTTGTTGGGGGCCTCGAGGGTGCTGTTGGGCGCCTTTCAGGGAGTCTGGCGGCGGTCTTGGGTGCCATTTCGGGGCGGAGGGCCGCAGAGGCTCTGGCGCATTCACCTTTTTTGGCACGACGTGGGTTTTTGTTCGAGGGCCTCTGGGGCCCCTCTTGGGGCTCAGGGGGCCGACCACTGGCGAGTTCAGGGGCCTGTCGGGCAGTTTTGGATGCTCGCGAAACCGAAAAAAGCAAGTCGATGAAACACTTCATGAAACCGTTCAAGGGGGTGTAACCACTCCGGCATCGAAGGTCGGACCTCGCGGGGTCCAAGAAGGCGCAAGTGCCACCTGTTGGATCCCCGGGGCGGCCCCACGAGGCATCCCCGATCATGTCGGAGGGTTGGTCACCGAGCCACGATCCCGAGGCCGCGGGACATCCGCGACCTTGGTCTTTGCCGCACCCAGGAACGCCTAGACTCCTGCGAAAGGGGGTGCTGCGCGGCAAGATGACCACATTGCAGAAACAGCTGTGGATCCGGCGCTGCCACGATTTCCTCCATGCCAAGAGGAAGCAGGACATGGAGGGTAAGGCTTCTCTTCAAAAGGATCGGGTGGCGAATGCGCATTACCTCGAGCTCGTGGACCACGGCTTGCAGGCTGGCGTTGGTTTCGGGCTGAGTAAGTTTAAAGTCGACGGGCTGGCTGCACGGGCTTTGCTTCGCAGCGAGATGCGGTATTTCATTGATATCCTCTGCTTGCCAGCCCACATGCAGGCGAGCGCGCACGGCAGAACCCGCCGGAACTGCATTGTTGATCGCTCCACGCAGGCCACGCGCCTAGAGGTGTGCTGGGACATCGAGAAGCCCGTGCTCATTTCCTTCCTAGACCAGGGTTCTGTCGGCTGGAACTGCAATCATTGGCTGTTCACTGGGCGGTGCAGGGGATGGGCCTTTTGCGATCCATCGCACAGGCGCCATGACAGCTGCATGAACGCTGTTGAAGAAGCAGGCTTAAGTTTCGTCAAGTACGAGGCCCTACTGATCGAGAATTTGGGCAAGGGGCCGTGGAAACAACAATCCAACTTTGGGAAATTTTCCGAGGCAGCGGCCGAGTATTTCAATAACGTGGACGAGTCCGATGAGTTATTCTTGGCAGTTTTGCCGTGGATGGCCTTTCGGTTCTACGAGGGTGAGTCGGGCCAGTCTTTCGATGGCGACTTCGCCAAGTGGATGTGGAAGAAAGCCAAAACGTGCGAGCTCTTCCAAAACTCGGGGGCGTCATCCAGGAAAAACAGGTGGTTCCAGTGGACGCGCCGCTGGCGCGACATCTCAAACAACGTCGGGTTCTTACTCGTTGCCTTGCTCTACGAGGGCCTCAACCTGGGATGGTGGGCAACCCTGGGAGATTCGCCCTTCAAGAGGCTGGCGGGGCCTAGGCCAGAAGACCACGGGGGGAGCGCTGGGGCGCCAGGCAACGCTGGAGGACCGTTGGCAGATGCAGCGGGAACAGCCGTTGCGCCCGCGGCAGCTGCTGGCTCGGGCGGCGGCCCCCACGTTGGCCACGGCGCGGGGCTTGACCCAGGTGAGCTCGAGGCCGACAGATCGAGAGGCGTGGCTGCTTCCAACGCGGGTTTGGACAGGTGGGCTAACAGGAGGAATGCGCAGCAAGTGGCGGCGGACATCCTGTGCAACCCACCTGTTTTGACACTAGCTGACATGGTATCTTTCCTGTCCGAGCCGATTGACGATGAGAGCGGCGTGACCTTGACGATGCTCAAAACTCGCAGGGGTTCCAGGGCAGCCAAACGGGGACCATAGCTTAACCTGCGAATCTCTAGTGCAGGTTTGGATGTCGATTGGGAGCTTGGAGTAGACCTTGTTTTATTTTGTGTTGAAGGTAGGACGAAGTAGTGAGATGCGTCCGTGCGTCGCCCAGCGCTGCTGGGAGGGCGCGTCTGTCGACCCGCGCCGAACCTGCCCCCCAAAGAGTTCGTTTCGGGGCACGTCGGCGCGTCATCGTGGATGGGGTGGTCCGCAGCGCACTGCGCGACCGAATCAGCCCCGTAGCGCGGGGATGCCGGCGCAACCGTGTGGCGGCGTGGGGGGGGAGGGGGGGGGAATTCGTTGCTGGGAGTGCCCGCGCATGCGTCGTTCAGATGGGGCTGGCCTTCCGGGTGCCGCGCGCTCCGCGCTAGCCGTATTGGTTGGCTTGTGGGGCGTGACGTTCCTCCATTCTTACCATCCCCGCGTGATCGCGGATTGGGTCGGTTGGGTCCTTGTTGGCTTCGTCAGGTTTCAGTGGGTGGGAGAATTCGAGTGGACGGGGCCCGCTGACTCGCTGGCGACATCCATGTTGGATGGTGCGCGCTAGGTGCGGGGGCTCTTAGAGCGGGGGCAACGCGTGGTGCAACGACACGACAGAACACACACACACACACACACAGTGCGAAAGGGCAAGCATCGCACGCGCATTGGCAAACTCGGCGGCGAGGGGGGGGACGCAGAGAACGCATGAAACGGAACGCGTCATGGACCGCATCGCGCACACATTGAGGGAAAGGGGTCGCTGAGGAGTAAGCATGCGTGGCGTTCGGTGCCCCCCCCCCAGAACGAAACGAACAACACGGCGCACAAAGTCACGCATCGCGCGCACTTCCCGAGGGAAATAATATAGAGGGAGGCAGGGGGACGTAGCGCGCAGCGCTGCCCATGGCGGAGCAGGACCCGCAACGCGTGCGTACACGACACTCATGGGGAAGGGTAGTTAGGCGGGGCATGGTGCATCAGTATGCAGTGCCACGTTGGGCGCGACATGGTCGACCAGTCGATTGGTCCCTAGCGCGCAAGGTGCGTTCGCACGGCCCTGGGGGCACTCTGGCGGTTTCAAGCTCAGTCAGATTCACCGCGCGCCGCCAAATCTTATGGCCCCCAACCCCGACCAATCCCGACGGAACCACTGGACTCGGGATGGGTCTGTTTCGTTACGTTGGGACCCTCGGAAACCATTCCTGGCGGAATGTAGCGCGGCACCTTGGCCCTTTCCTCATCGGAAAAGCTTCCGGCACCTTTGAATCCTTCCTCGGCGGGGGCATTTTGCGGGGGGATCGGTCGCAACGTTGCGTGGTGGTCGTTTGCTGGAGCACTTCGCGCTGTAACCCACTTTTTATTTTAATGCTTCGCGCGCCCCCGCCAGCCCGTCCAGAACGGATGCTTACGGCAGTTGCCCTTTTATCAGGGGGGCGTGGTACCGTTTGGACACTTCGTGGAGCATCAGTGAGGTAGAGGTCTCATGGATGCCTCTGGGGGTCTTTTGGGATGTCCCCTCAGGGGCTCCTGGTGACCTCACAAAACGGTTTTGGGGCCTTGGGGGAGGTCTTTGGGGTCTCGTGGGGCGTCGTGGGGGCCTTTGGGGAGCTTTGGGGGGGAACTCTGAAGGTCCTCTCGGGGCCTTTTTGGGGCCCCCATGGGGTCGTTGCCGGCCTGTCGGGGCCATCCTCGAGGACATCGATCAAAAAAGGAGGAGGCCTTACAACGTCGCTTTTGTGTATATTTTATAATCTCGCCTCCTGGGGCGCTCTTGGAGTGCTCCCGTGCGCTTTCGGGGTCGTCTCGGAGGCCTCTCGGACCCCTCGCGGGTCTCTCCTGTGCCCTTCTGGCGCCACCCTGCGGCTCCAGAAGGCGATCGGAAACGAACAGGTCACGCGGCAAACGTCACCAATGTTCCTCCGTTAAGTGTAGTGGTTCTAGGCTCTTGGGGGCATCCTTAGAATGGGCCCGTTGCCGTTGGGACCTGTCGTGGAGTGGTCATGGGGCCCTTTGGAAGCACATCGGAGGCCATCTTAATTAAGGCGGGTCGAATATTTGAAGCAATGCTGGAGACTATCTTCGGCTATCTTGGGCCTTGTTTGGGCCATCTTGGGTCATCTTGGGCGCCCCAGCCGCTCGGGGCCCCTCCCCCCCAGATCCGGGGAGACAGGGCAGGGGCAGAGGTGGGCCTCTCCCCGAAGGGGAAGAAGGAGGCTGGACGAAGAAACGCCCTAAACCACGTATTCCCTCAAGGGCTCGTGGGATTCCTCTCCTCCTCCTGCTCTCGCCTCCCGTCCTCATGAACCTCCATTCACCCCCCCTCCCTGTCATCCTCCCGCTCGCGTCGGCGCATTATTTTTAGGCGTCTTGTATATGGCAGGCCATCGTAATGAGCGCGTGTAGGTCTGGCTGTGAGCGTTCCCCGGCGGCTGCCTTGATTCCCAGGTTGTCTGGAGTGGCACGCCCGCATGGCCTCGAATAGGGTCGACCACTTGTTCCAAGTCTGGGCTAGGGTTGGTGATCCGAAGTTGCTCGCGAAGCTTGGCGTCACTAGCGCAGCGGGTCCTGCTGCGATTTTTTTGCCAACAGCATCAGAGAGGAGGTACATCCTTCAGAGCATGTGGGATTTGACAAGGGCCATGATCGGCAACGAACTCGAGTACATTGGCACGTTTTCGCAATGGCTTCCGGGGAAGTTTGCAGGCTTGATCTCCCATGACCTTGCGGTGAAGGGCGAGGCGATTGAGTTCTGCAAGAAATCATTCCTCGCCTTGGAGGTTGCTGAACACGCTGCGTTCGACGAGCCAGCTCTCCAGCAGTGGTTGCGCCAGCTGGTGTGGGTCAAGCAGCCGTGGGTACGCGAGGTATTAGTGTCTCTGGCTGAGACAAACTGGACCGATGTCCCCAGCGACATCGAGGAACAACTGATGTCTGTATTTTCAGGGCCTGGTGGGACCAAAGACGTGGAAGATATATTCAACGTGGTGAGGAGGTGCACTGCAAAAACTTCGACTGGAGGCTTGAGGTCTGCAACGCAGTGGTATCGCGCCAGTCACGCCCAGGTCCTGGAGGAAGCAGGGAAGAAACAGCCAGAGGTGAAACCGATTGACAGAATAAGAAACTCTGGAAAACTCCCGGCCAGCATGTTCAAGGGTTCGGCCTGCGAGTTCTCTCTCGAAGATGCCGCGCTTTCCGAATACAAGGAAGGCAAATGGGGGCCAGCCCCCAGCCCCCAAAGTTGGTTGTTAGTGCCTTTGGCGCACCACGCCTTACTGTGGGCAGAAGGCGATGCAACCAAACTGTTGAATACTTGGCTGAGTTGCTTGGCTGTCAAAGGGACTGTCCTGTGCAAATGGGGCGACCCTTTGGGCGACGAGGCTTTGCTCGTGATGAAGGTTGGACCTCACGGTGCGTACTGTTGGAAAGCCTCGGCGCGCTCCGTGGATGGAGAAACGTTTCTGACTCCGAAACTTCATCCGGACGCAGTCGAAATCGTGCATATCCATTCGCTGACCACTTGGGCTGTTTTCGCGGTGGGTCCCGTCACCGCCAGTGACATGTTAGTTCGTTTCGGGGGCCAGGTGTTCGCTCTAGGTATTTCCAAAGCGCTGCTCAGGGTCAAGGATGAGAAGCCCTGGACAGTGCTGGAGGCATCCGCAATTGATGGATTTCGAAGTTTAACGACTGAACACATGTCAAAGCTGTGTCGGCATCTCGGTCTTAGGAATGACAGCGGCTCCATGCCAACCACCGAGGCGGAGTTGGCGAAACTTCTGGTGAGGCGCGTGCTGCACTGGCTTGATGACAGCGAAGTAGAGGATATCCTCAGCCAGAGGAAGAAAACATCAAAAAAACCGTCGTTCGCGTCCACTCTAAGCGAGGGCGACAAGAAGGCTTTGGATGAGGTTTTGCAGGCCGACGAAGTGGCCGAGGTAGAAAAGGATGTTTTCGAGCCGAAACGCAGGGCGGCAACTAGAGCAAAGCCTCCAGCGGGGCCATCGGGAGATCCTCCTCCACCAGCGCCCCCAGCGCCACCACCAGGAGCTGGAGGAGTCGGCGGCGGTGGTGGCGATGGACCTGTGGCCGGTCATGGGCCTGCTCTGGCGCATCGCATTTTGCGGCCGATTGTCGGGGAAGAGTGGACTGCTGCTGAAGCTCGTGTTTTTTGCCCTCGGGCGCCAGGTGTGACAATCTCCATTCACACATTGCGGAGCTGGCAAATCAAATACCCAGGCAGGGTTACAGAGGGGCCCAAGAGTCATTCAAAGACGTGGACCGAGATTTTGACCCACAGGGAAGCACTGATGACGGTGCTGCGGTGGGCATGGGATCGCCACGAAGAGGCGGTTCCAGAGGAGATGTGCCCTTGGGAATTGGGGTAGTCTTTCCCAAACGGCAACCTAGCGTCTGGCCACTGAGAGCATGAACGGTCGCATTTTCTGCGCGTGTGCTTGACAGTTGTTGCCTTTTTCGGCGCGCGCCCTGGCATGCGGGGTTGCGCAGGCGCGCGCTGCCAAAAAATAGTCCTTGGGCAAGGGGTTCCAATCGCACGTCTATCGCGCCACGCAAACTAGCAAAGCAAAGTTGCATGCTACATTGCGTCTTGCATTAGAAGGCCAGCGGCCATTGCCGCCGCCCCCCCCTTGCACGAGGTGCCGGCGGCCCCCTCGTCGCCGTGGCCGTCCTCATCCTCATCCCTCTCCTGTGGTTTCTCCTCCTTGTCCAGAGTGGTATTCGCGTTATTTTGACGCCACCAAAAGTTCGCATTGGGGAAACCATTTTTTCGGTGGCCCTTGTTGATTCCTTGGGAGTTCCATGGTTTCGTTCCCAGTTCCATTGGGGCAATATCCTTGCTTCTTTCGTTGCTTCTGCGGGGCGTGGAGCCTTCTCAGCCTTCTCATAACGACCATGAAGCACCGGCCTCTCTTCGGAACGCTTCTGCGGTTTACAAGGAATCTGTCGCCATGCAGTTTTTGCCGACGGGGTCCGAAGTTTGAAAGCGACCTTGGACCTGGGAGCGCGGACACATTGTAACGGTGCGATCGTGGCCATGGGAGCTAGTATGCTACGTCGCGTGCTCGGGTCTGTGGTCCCGAAAGGGCGGGGCCATGTTATTTTGCGGTGGATCGTGGCTCCCGGGTTCTGGATGTTCCTTGCGATGCCCCAAGGAGTCGCGGCGGTCGGAACGGGGGCGCAGCGTCATTCATAACGGATGGAGGCCCTGAAGGCACGGGCCCAGTGTAGTTTGCAATGGTTCGTGGCCCTGCCGGGCGGATTTTTGTAAATCGGGAAAGCGTGGCCCGTGGGATGTGGACATGGCGCAATTCGCGCGGGGGCAGTGCATGGGAGAAGCGGGCCCTTGTATAACGGATTTTAGGATCACGTCCGTTGGGGTGGAGATTCGCTGCGATTTTTAAGTGGCGTCAACCCTTGGAGCGCAGATCGGGCGTCATGCGCGAGGGGCCGCTGCGCTGGGGGCGCAGGTCCAGCCTGATTTGCAAACCCACTTTGGCCCTGGAAGCGCATGTCGGCAATCATGCACAAGGAGCCACGCCCCTGTCAGCGCGGACCCGTGGTCATTTGCGACGGGCCGTGGCCGTGTAAAACTTGATAATATGTATAATGCTCGAAAGGTTGCGGCCCTGGGAGCGCGGGTCCACCGTGATTCACCAGGGACGACCTCTGGAGCGCGGACCTCGCGCGATGCATGAGAGGTCGTTGCGTTGGGAGCGCCTGTTTTTGTTATTCTGTACGGAGGGGGCTGGGCCATGGCAGCGCGGATTAATTTACAAGCCATCGCGCCCTTGGGGTTGCGTGGCCCATGTGATTTACGAGGGGCCATGATCTTGGAAAGGGGAGGCCCATCGCACTCCGCGATGAGCCGTGTCGCTGGGGCCGCGGACTCGTTGATGAAATTCGCAGGGCCGTGGCCTCTGGAACGTGGGCCCAGCGCATGTTAAACGGGATTATGGCCCTGGGAGTGCGGGCCCACACGTAATTTGCAAGGGGTCGAGGCTACGGGAGCGCGAGCCCAGCGTTTTTTGCGAGGAGTAGTTGCCCAGGGAGCGCGGAATCCTTTTTGTAATTTGCGGACCGCGGCCTTGGAAACGCATGCATGGCGCCTTGCGCAATCTAACGTGGACTGGGGAACGAATGTGTTGAAGCAAATTGCATGGGTTTTCGTCTAGGGGACAATGGTTGCTTCGAAATTGCAAAGGGTCGTGGGGGGCCAGCGGCGGTGGCGAACCCCCCACAGGGCGGTGCTAGGGGGGGGCAGGCGGCCGGGGGGGAGACTTACGGAGTGAGGCAGTCGGGATTGAGGCATTCAATCTTTTGCGCCACCGCAACAACAGTCAAGCCAACCAAAGGCGACGGCCCACAGCTTGGAGACCCCACAAGGGGGCTGGCGGATATATGTCTGGCCACCTTCTGGGATGTGGGTTGAAGCCGGCTTTAGGGTTGCAAGCGGGGGGTGCGGCGGGGCCAGAGTAGGCCCGACCCCCAGGAAACATCCCATTTGAAACCGCACGCGCCCTAAACAAATACCGAGGAAGATGAGGAAAGGGAGGAGGAGGCCAACCTTGAGATGCGCGGCCAACTAAGGGGAAGTCTGATAGCGCGCCTTCTGTTTCGTGTTTTCGCCAGTGCAGTGGTGGCGATCGTTCAAACGGTTCTCGATGCTGGCGGGTGGAGGCCAGGCGCAAGGAACTTCCGCGGCTGAGAGTATTCCCCGTTTGGTATTTGTCTTGGACATCGGCAGTAGCAGGAATAGTGGCGACAGTCGCAGCCGTCGTTGTAGCCGCGAGCATGTCGACACAGGCCAAGTTGTGTGTCGATCCGATGCCATGCCACCCTTTGCTGCCAAGCAGCCACATGTATGGAACCACGTGAGTGCACATGTATGGGGTACGTGTGATATATGTAGACGGGTAAATTGGGCAACCAAGCGGTCGTGTCCGCACGGGCGTTGGCACAACGACGAACGAAGCGTTTGCGCGCGCGTGTGTGTGCGGCAGTCTTCTCGTGCGCATGCATGTCTCCGCGAGTGCGCGTATTCGCTTGCGTGCGCGCGTCCCCGCTGAATCCGTGATGTTAGTTGCTGGCGCGATTGTCGTCGTGTTTGAATCTTTCCGTATTGTCGGACCTGGCTGTATGTTGCCCGTCGCCTTTGGTGATGCAGCATTGTTGCTCCCGCGCGTACGTGGAAACATATAGAACACATGTTATCATATATCGTACCTCGTTCGTTAAAATGGCTCCCCGAGTCGAGCGCAAGAGCTGCGCGTGCGATGGTCTTTGCGTGGCCAAGGCGCCACGGACTTCGTGGCAACATAAGATCGGCACAAGCTGCATACCAACCGTATGTACCATTGGTAGAACGCTCGGCCCCCCTCGCCCTCCACCCCCAACTTCGCCGTTTAAAGGGAGGGGGAGGGGGAGGGGGAAGGGGAGGGGGATGGGGAGGGGGAGGGGGAGGGGGAGGGGGAGGGGGGAGGGGGGGGGGAGGAGGAGGAGGAGGAGGAGGAGGAGGAGGAGGAGGAGGCTTCGCCGCCCAGTCCGCGCGGGGAGCACGCGGGGCGAGGCAGCGCGGAGGCGCGCAGCCTCGAGGCGGGGCCTGGGCGCGGGGGCCGACGCCTCTCCCTCGGAGACGGGCGCGGGGGACGAGGCTGAAGTTGGGCCTGTCCCTCTAGAGGGGGCGTATTCAAAAATAGTCAGAAACTAGTCAGAAAATATTCAAGCATAGTCAGAAAATGTTTGAACAGTTTTGGTGCATTTGTGGGGTATGTTTTTTGTTTCGTTCAAAATCCCCCTGTAGGGGGACAGGCCCGACCCAAGACGAGGGTCAGGCTGCAGCGCATCTGCGAGGCCGTCTCCGAGCTGTGCGCGCGCGAGGAGGACAGCCCCCCCCTGGGCCGTGCCCCCCCCCCTCCCCCCCCCCCTCGGAGGGGCGCCAAGCAATGCGCCACCACCAGCCCTGGCCAGAGGAGGAGGAGGAGGAGGAGGAGGAGGAGGAGGAGGAGGAGGAACAGGAGCAGGAGCAGGAGCAGGAGCAGGAGCAGGAGCAGGAGCAGTAGGAGGAGGAGGAGGAGGAGGAGGAGGAGGAGGAGGAGGAGGAGGAGGAGGTGTGTACACCTCTAGGCCTAGGCCAGGAGGGCCTGCGCACCAGTCCAGGGCCCAGGATGGGCCTGGCAAGGGCTGGTGGTGGTATATTGTTTGGGGCCCCTGGCACCTCACTCTTCCCGCAAGTCCGCCGTCTCCACGCGGTTCTCAGGAACAAGCAAGCGGCATTTGAAAGGTAGATTTGCCCGACGCACCCCCACAGGTAGACCCCCGCCCGTCGCGCGCCGTCTACATCTCAAGGTCCTGCAGGTCGGGGTCTACATTTCAGGGTGCTGAGGTTTCGCGAGGGTCGACACTGCAGGGTCTGTTTTTGGTCGGGGTCTACATTTGAGACCCTTTGCGCGGGGTCTACATTTGGAGGCCCTTCTCGCGGGTCTGCATTTGGGGGGCTGTTAGCGTTTCCCCGCAGATTCCCTCAAACCGCCGAAGGAGGGGGAGACGCCTTGTACTCATCTGTTCACTCTTGTCTCTGCATGTGCCTTTTCTAGCATACCTTGTTGCTGCTTCGCTTCGCATCATGTGTCGTCATTCCGTTTCCTAGGGGAGGCCAGAACGCGCCATGTGTCAACAGGCCCCGACGTTTTGAGCGCGGGGGCTACCGAAAAACATGGATCATGAGCTCTCTCCCCCCCGCTCCCGTAGCCTTCCAAGCTGGCGGCGGGGGGGGGCCTCGAACGCGGAAGGTTTTCTCAGAAGCCAGGGGCTGGCCCTGCTCTCCCGCCTTCGCTCACGGGCCACGCTCGCACTGCGGCCCCCTCGGAGGCTCCTCCCGCATCCCCTCCGGATCTCTCTCTCGGGGGTCTGAGGAGGCCACGCTTTTCGGCCGACTGACACTCCAGCAGGGGGCGCGCCCACGCTTGGAGAGCGATCCGGGGCGCTCCTAGGCAACTGGGCCCGTTCCTACTCCTGCCTGACTCCGTCTCCTCCTCCGAGGGGTCGCCGCTGCTTGGCCCGAGCGTCGGCGCGTATCTACTTACTGCATGAATAGTAGAAGCCCCGCCATCCACATCTTGTTGCCGCTATGTTTGCTCTCGTACAGCTTCCAACTCCCGCAATTCTAGCTCCTCCTCTAGGGGGCCACATGCGAACCCTACCCCTACCCCCACGATTTCTGAGGGGGAGGGTGGGGTTCACTTCGTTCGGGAGCTCCCGAGTGAAGTGAACCCCACCCTCCCCGTCAGAAGTCGTGGGGGGTAGGGGTAGGGTTCGCCTGTGGCCCCCTATCCTCCTCCCCCTCCTGCGCCCCTCCTCCCCCTCGTTTTTTCTCTGATTTCCGAGCCAGCGCCGTCCGCTGCAGGCGTGGACGCCGCCTCTGCTGGGCAGCGCGGCGTCCACCCAGAGGTGATGTCGGGAGAGGACGGGTGCCGAGAGACTCGAAGCTACGGGGTCGTCTGAGGTCGGGGCACGACGACGAAGGCTGTAAGTGCCTCTGCTTTGCTACTCGTGGAGAACAGAGGCACTCACACACTTCGTCGTCGTCGTCCCCCGACCTCGGACGACTCCACATTTCCTCGAGCCTCTCGGGGCCCGCCCTCTCTCGACGCCGTCCCTGGGACCCCGAGGGGGCACGCACGCCCCGCGCCTGCGGCACCGCGCCCCGCCCCTCGCCGCCCGCCCCCCGCCCAGAGCTCCGCCCGCCCGCGCCCAGAGCGGCGGCCTCCCCCGCCGGAGGGCCTCTCCCGCCGGGGGGGGCCCCGAGGCGGGGGTCCACGCGAGCGGGGGTCCTGTGGGGGTCCACGCGAGCGAGGAGGAGGAGGAGGAGGAGGCGACGGAGGAGGAGGAGGAGAAGGAGGAGGAGGAAGGACGAGGAGGAGGGACGAGGAGGAGAAGGAGGAGGAGGAGGAGGAGGAGGGCGAGGTGGAGGCCAGAGCGCCGGATCCTGCAGGGACCTGCAGGGGTGGGCGCCGCTGCACTGTCGGGGGTGGGCAGAACTCCTAGAGAGCATTGGTGGGTCGACAAGTTGGGGGGGGGAGAAGGGTGCACATCTTCGGGGCCCCTCGGCCCCCTCCTGGGTGGGCGTCGCTGTATGGGGTGGGCGTCGCTGCATGGGCGTCGCTGCATGGGGGGTCGACCAGTGGGGGGTGAGAAGGGTGACCATTTTCGGGGCCCAACGGCACCCTCCTGGGCCTTGCAAGGGCCGCTTTAGGGGCCCTCGCTGCCCGCCCACTCATCGCCCCCCCCCCCCTGTTATCTTCTCGCGGCCCACAGTGCCAGAGCTAAACCGACCAGAGCTAGCGCGCAGGGTCTTGCAATACCCGACTGACCTTGGCGTTGATGAACCCGGGCCAGTAGCTCCCCAAGACAAGAGGAGAGTTCCAGGGCTCCAGTCTCCAGGCCTCCCAGAAGGGGGCTCGGGGCAGGTGGGGTCCAGAGGAGGAAGAGGTACCGACACCACAGTACCCTTCCCTCGTTTCCCCCTCTTTTGGGGCTCTTGGGAGGCCCTTTCGTCACCACCGCAGGATCCGCCTCGAGAGCAGACTGGTCAGAAACGCAGAACGCATAGGTCACCACCGCAGACTGGTCAGAACGCATAGGGGAACGCAGAACGCATAGGGGAACTCAGAATGACATAAACATAAAAAAACTCGGAGGCCCGCGCGGATTCCTTGGATCGGCGCTGGACCCCCGATCTTGGCGCGCGGAGCGCGCCAGGGGCGGCGCCGCCAGAGGGTCCAGCGCGGATCCGAGAAGTCTGCGCGGACCCCCGAGCTTTTATGCGTAAGTCCTTCTTTGTTCCGCTAACGCACCTCAGGGGAGGTCTGTTGAGTGGCGGCATCTCGGTACCTTCTGTCGGAGGTCGATCGACCTCCTACTCCGACGCGTCGATGAGCGAATCGGCCGTTTTCGGCTCGCCAGAGGGCGTCGCGGCCGTCATTTTTGCGGGCCCAGGTCCGTCGGTTTCGGCCCTAGGCCGTTTTCACCAAAGGGCGGTTTTCTAAGGGGAGGTTTGTCCACCGCCGATTCTGGTTTTCCCGGGGGTCGGAGGATCCCGCGCCGCATCGCCGCAGTGCGCCGGCGAATCGCGCGGCCAGGCGTGCGGCCCGAGCTTTTCCCTCCGCGCCGCTGCATCGCGATGCATACTCTTCAGGAGGGAAAGAAACACAGACACAAGGAATCGTCGATCCCCCAGAAGATAAGGGAAAATATGGGAAGTGGGGGGGACAAAAACCCAGAAAAAATAGGAAGATGTGGGGAATCCTTTTATTTGTGTGTATTTATTTTGTTTCGTGTGTGTATTTATTTGTGTGTGTATTTGTGTGTATTTATTGTGTGGGAATCCTTTTATTTGTGTGTATGTATTTGTGTGTGTGTCCCAGGGCCCCTTCAACTTTTGGCCCGCGGGCGCGCGAACCGGGTCGAGCGCCGAGCCTGCTGCGGCGGGCCGCGCCGGCAGCGAAGGGAGGAGCAGCGAAGGCGGCGGCGCGCAGGAGGCCGCGTGACCGACCAGGCAGTCGGCGGAAGAGCCGAACAAGAGGACTACAACCCTCGTCGAAATTGAACGCAAGTTTTTTCCACCCCCGTCGCCCCCATATTTCAATGTTCATCGACAGGCGCATCGCGGCCGGCGGGGTCCGAAGAGAATCTCGAAGTCGCCGGCGTCGGCGTGAACATTGAAATTGGGGGTCGGGGGGCGCCGCCAGGTCGCGGCTAAAACTTGCGTTCAATTTCGACGAGGGATGTAGGAACTCGAGCGTGGCGAAGCACAGGACGTGCCCCAGAAACAGTCAGTACAACCGCGATGCGGCGCGATTCTCATCTTCGGCCACGCGCAGGGGGTGGGGGGTAGGGGGAGGGGGGAAGGCTTCTTAGAGGCGCCCCTGCTTCTTACAAGGCGCGGGCCTCCTCTACACATGTAAGGCCGGCGCCTTCTATGAAGCGGCCCCCTTCTAAGAAGCCTTCCCCCCTCCCCCTACCCCTCTGCGCGCCGCCAACATCTACTCGGACCCCATCTGGGAGGCCTCGACTATATATTCTGGAAAGAAGTAGTCTAACCAGGGTTGGCCCGACGGGGTTGGCCGGGAGGGTTGGCCGGATCTCTGGAGGTTGGCCAGGAAGGTTGGCCGGGTCCGTCGTCGTACAGTCGGTGCCCTGAAGAAGGAACCCTTTTCGTTGTGGAGGGGCTCGGTGTTCCTTGATTGCTTCACAGTTTGCCTTTGGGTTTTCTTTTGGCTTCCGAAGGGAAATCGAAGTTCAACTTCTGGATCAAAGGGGCCTCGTTCCTTATTTAGGGTTCCTTGGGTCAACGCCCCGACTGTACGAGTTGATTTGTGACGTTGGTTCTGACGAGCGAGGTTTTCGCCTCATTCGCCCGCAGCTCTTGCGTATGCTGCACCACGGCCCCCGTCGTGCGAGTGGCCGGCCTCTGAGCAGGGCCGGATATGAGTCAGGAGGGGGAAAAACACACAGACACAATTAATCGTCGATTCCCCAGAAAAGATGGGAAAATATGGGAAGTGGTGGGTAAGACAAAAACCCAGAAAATATACGAAAATATGGGGAATATTTTCATTTGTGTGTATCTATTTGTGTGTCCTGGGGCCCCTTCAATGAGGCAGCAGAGCGGGCGGCAGGACGTCCGAGAGAAGCTGCAGAACTGCGTCCGCGTGAAGGGGACCCGCCTTGAGATTATGCTGCCCTCTTATCGGGGGCGGCCAAGAGGGGGGTGATGACTAGGGGGGCGGGGCTATCATGGCGGGGGCCAGGAGATTTGCCCAGATTTTATGGCGCCTCTTCTTGTCTCCGTGCGTCCCCAGCCCTCCCCCCTGGGCCGCGCACATGCCGCCGGCCATGATTTGCGCCCCCCCCTCGTGGACGCCCCCCTCTTGGCCGCCCCCGATCCCCTTTGTTGCCCTGTGTCGATCGGCATGCTTCGGACTGCAGCGAGGTGGCATGGAGCGACGTACGGTGGTTTGCGCCGCGCTGTCGCGGCGTCGACCGCTGCGCGGGCATTCAAGACTGAACGCCGCCGGTATCCTGGAATCGGCCCATATTGAACGATCTGTGCGCCATCGCGGAGCCGCGATCGATCAAGGTTGAACGATCTACGCGGTGTCAGGAACTTCCCACCGGGTTGTCATAACACTAACTTGCCATAAATGGAGGCATTCAAGAGTGAGTTCACCGCACATGCGTGAACATTGAGTGAAACGACGCGTGTTGTGTGTCGTTGCGCGTATTATCTTAAGAGTTGGGGACATGACAGGCGCAGTAGGAGCGTCGACAACAATCATATGTTATGCCATATGATGTGATTTCAGCAGGGCACCCATGCAAGCTACACTACCACGCGAGTCATCATGTTTGTCGGGAATGTCGTTTGTGAAACAGAGAGTCTGTAAAACCAGAGCAGAAACTGGCCAGGGCATAGTTGCTTTTTATGGCAACTCGCTGCCCTGTTGTCGATATATCTTGATCTTGTCCCTGCGAGTGAGGAAACGCGGTGCGTGCGAATGTGCGGCGCATCAGGTGTTTTTTCATATCCTAAGATAGGGGTTCGTATTTCCAATTCTTGTTATAGTAGTCTTGCTGTTCGGGCGATGCCTCCACCTCCCTCCCTCCTTTCCGCATTCTTCCGCCTCGCCCACACTCCGACTCACGCAGACTCAGCCTCGTTCGCACTCAGACTCACTCACACTCAGTCTCACAATCTGAGTCTCTCATAACTCATGCGTACTCAGGCTCGCTGATGTTCATACTCGGCCGCGCGCATGCCACTCACTCTCATACGCACTCATCCTCAGCCTGGCCACACCCAGACTCACACATGCCCTGACTCAGTCACACTCGGACCCGCGAACTCACACACACACACACACACTCGCGCCTCTCAGACTCATGCCCGCTCGCATCATGTGCAATTCGCGCTTAGGCCACGCTCATGCACATTCGGCCACACTCGGACCCACTCGCGCCCTGACTCGTCCGCAGGGACCCGTTCCTCTGCCGCCAGCCTCGCCTTCACGCGTCATCGTGGGAGACGGCGCGGCCGTGCCGGGGACGTGTCGGCGCCAATTGCGGAGGCCTTGCGGCCTGTGCCGCCGACCCTGGAGGCCACGAACGTGGGAACGCGGGGGGGGTGTAGGAGGAGGAATGGAGAGGGAGGAAGGGTGGAGGAGGAGGAGGAGGAGGAGGAGGAGGAGGAGGAGGAGGAGGAGAGGGAGGAAGGGTGGAGGAAGGGTGGAGGAGGAGGAGGTGGAGAGGGAGGGGGGGGTGGAGGAGGAGGAGGAGGTGGAGAGGGAGGAAGGGTGGAGGAGGCAGCTGAGGGCCGCTTGGGAGCCTCGTGGTGGCCTCTCGGAGCTTCCTGGGGGTCTCTTGGGAGCCTCTCGGGGCTTCGCGGGGAGCTTCTTAGGGGCGTATACGGGGGCCTCCTGGGAGCTGCTGAGGCCGAGGGTTCGAAATGTCCGGTCGAGTCTCCAGTCTGGGCTCTCTCTTGGAGCCGTCTTGGGGACCTCTTAGGCTATCTTGGAGGCGTCTTGGGCGATATTGGGGCGGCCATGGGGGCCTCTTGGCCTGTCTTGGAGCGTCGGGAAGCTGACAAGGCGAGAATGCCCAATTTTTTCAAAACCGAAGGGAAATCTATGATGTTTGCTTCGGCGCTATTTCTGATCGGGGCTCCAGACGAGGGTCCCTGCAAACGGGGGTCAGTCAGAGCGCCAGATCTTGCAGGATCTTGCAGAGCCAGGGGTGCATTGACCCAGGCTTGCGTGCAGGAGTTTTTCGTCTAATCTTGCAAAGCCTGACTCTGACCCGGGGCTGGACTGACCGGGGTCAGCAGATCCCCGATGCGAGAAGATGTGCGGGAACATCTTGCAGGGGCGACAGGTATACAGCAAGCACCTTGAGAGACCAGAGTTGTCGATGAGCGTATTGTCCCCAATCGAAAAGGAAATCTGGTCGCAGGGGCGCGAATCTGGTGTCACTTAAGAATATTCACAAGGGGCTTGGGAGCGCGAATCTGATGTAATTTGTTGAGAATAGTTACGGCACTGGGGACGCGAATCTCATGTATTTTTACGTGTCCCAGGGAAGTCTCAGGGCCATTTGGGGGGCCGTCGATCAGAGAGGGGGAGGGGCGAGTGGCCCCGAGGCCAACAGTGGCCCAACACCTACGAAGCATCAGCGATGCTGGCCTTCTCGATGAGGCAGGCCATCTTGGACGCTGTGACCGCTCGCGAGATCCCCCCGTCCAGAGCAGGGGGAGGGGGTGGTGGGAGGGGTAAACCCTCCGCTTGGCATCGCTCGGACGTGTGCATTTTTCCTTCGGCGAGGACCATCGAGGAGCATCCTGGATCATTTGGCGAAAAAGCCGCGCATGAAACCCACCCAAAAAAAACACATGGAATGGACGTCCGAGCGATGGCGAGTCCGAAGGGGGGACAGGGCGGGGGGGGTGGAAGAGGAGCCGGTCTGCACTACCGCGGCCCCGAGGGCCGGGGCGGGATGGAGGCTCCAGAGGCCCGCCGGCGCGGAAGTGCGCGAGGGCAAGAGCCACGGACCGACTCCAGGTTCTGCCACGGCTTTGGGATCTCGGGAGGTCCTCGGGTCGGGTGTTGCTAGAAGTGCCCCTGGCCCAAGGTGCCCCCAGCTTTTCGCACTATTTTGGAGCCCCTGGGGCCCCCTGGGCCTCGTGAGGGGTGCCCTGGAGGCCGTCTGGGTCACCCCGAGAATCCTGGGGGTACCTTGGGCCAGGGGTACTTCTAGCAACACCCGATCGGGAGGACTCCGAGCGCGGCTGGCGCCGGCTTGGAGCCGGCCGCAGGGGCATCTCGGATGTGTGTGTGCTGGAGGCTGTGGTGGAAAGGTCTTTTGGGCTATATTTCGCCAGCGTGGGGGCAGTCGTGCCACATGGAGAGAGTCGCCTGGGGACCACCTTGGACCCCAACGGGCCGGCTGCCACCCCCCGGGCTGCCCCCGTCCAAACACAGGAGGGAGTACTCCAAATCCGTTATCAAACGGCGCCCCCCCCTAAAATACTCCGGCCCCCCCTCCACGGGAGGCGCCTTAATATTCCGGCCCCCTTTCTGGGAAAGTTGCTCGTTGGAAAAAGGCGCCTCAATAGACTGGCCCCAGGGGCCGCGTAAGAAGGGGTTTGGAGTAGGGGGGGGGGGGGGGTCAAGTTGGCCAGGTCGAGCGAGTCAGAGGGACCCACCTCCTCCCACCCTCGCCCCCACAGCACAAACAAGAACTGCTCGTGGTGCAGCTTGACCTTGGCACTGGGACGCGCTCCCCCCCTCGCGAGCGGCAGGCGCTCGCGCGCGGCCCCGCCTCCGACGGCTTGGCGACGCGAAGCCTACGCGGGGCGCGCAGGGGCGGGAGCGGTCACCCTTCCAATGGTCAGGAGGAGAAAAAACACAGACACCATCAATCGTCGATTCCCCAGAAAATACGGGAAAATATGGGCAGTGGGGGGGAAGACAGAAACCTAGAAAATATGGGAAAATATGGGGAATCCTTTAAATTGTGTGTATTTACTTGTGTGCCCCAGGGCCCCCGGGCAAGGGGACCCGGTTAGTGGTAGGGCCCTGGGGCCCCTCAATTGGCCAGATTCACTAGAGACCAGGTTTGCCGCAACTGGTGTTTTGCGGGTGACGGCAGTCCCGGTTAGAGCGGAACGGGGCGGGGGCAGCGCCCCTCGGCACACATCACTAAACCAGGTTCCATTGAACCCAGTTCTGCCAACGCCCGACAATGGGCGCGGCGAATGCGAAGAATTTGCCGCGCGGACCCGGCAGCGCCACTCTCGCCCACAGGCTGCGTGGCGCGTGGCCGGGGTCGGCACTGTCGCCCGCTCTCGCTCGGCAGCGCTGCCCCTTCGGTTGTTCTGTTGGCTCAGCGAACGAACGAGCCATGCGCGCGCACGCGCGCGAACACTTCCGAACGAGATGCGCACGGATCTCGGGCGAGGGTGGCAAGTGCCCCATTCGGGCGGGCCCAACAAACTTGCCCCCCCAGGAATTCGCCGCGTCGGGGCGGGAGTGCCACTCTCGTGCTACAGCCGCTGCCGCGCCGAGGCGAGAGCGACACGTTCGTCCTCGCGCACGTCGACGAAATGGCGCGCGAGAGGTGTGCGCCACGTCGAAGTAGGAGCTCGACCCTTTAGTAGAATGGGCGCGTCGCCATGGCGAAAGCGACATTTGGGCCTGTCGCGCGGGAAGCGTGCCGCGTCCAGGTCTGGCCACGCATCTCGTAGCGTCGATGACAGAATGGCCATGCTGCGACGAAGCACACTGGTTTTGTATTGCTTTCTGGTAAGAAATATGAGACGTGCCTGATGCGGCCCCGATCGGCTGGTCAGGTTGTAGGGCGGGAGTGTCTACCAACCGACAATATGAATCAAGGTCTCCCCTCGACGGACGGCCGTCTCGGTCACTCCCCCGCCCGCCACAATAGTATTGGCGGCGAGCGAGGGGAGGAGGTGAGAAGAAGAAGGCCTTCTCAGAAGGCGGCGGGACTTCTGGGAAGCCCTCGCGCCTTCTGAGAGTTTCCCTGTGCCCCCGCGGCAGGCACAGAAGACTTCTCGGAAGGCCCGGGGGACTTCCGGGCCCTCCGAGAAGGCCCGCCCCTGCTCACTGCCCCCCCGGGCCCGCCGCCGAAAGTAACACCTGGGTCTCAGCATGGGCACGCGTCCTTTGGAACGTCAGGTGCAGTTCACCGCCCGCGCGAGTTCAACGCAGGACCGCAGAAAGCCGAAGCGCGTGCCAACACGTGTCCCCTGTGAACGTTCGGAGAGCTAAGCTACGCTGCACTGGATCTCTCGATGCCATGCTCGTGGGCAATCCTCGGGAGCCTGCCGTCGACAATCCTCGGGAGCCTGCTGGGCAGGGGCCTGCCGTCGACAGTCCTCGGGAGCCGACGTGCTCACGCCCGTGCCAGGTGCGAGGTGCGCGCCCGCGCGGGGTGCGCCGCGCCTGCCGGGACAGCCCCGAGTCATCCCGGCAGTCTGCCGCGGCGTGCACTGCGCACGGGCTCCTGCGGGGGGGAGCAGGACAGGACAGGAAGAAGCCTCGCCTCTAGGCGGCGCATCGGCGCACATCGGCTCGAAAACGAGAGCCAAAACAGGTGCAGACCACTGTGCTGAATGCACGCGCGCTGGGTCACAGCCGCTGCACATAGACCAGTGCTGGGCGGCAAACACGAGGCACATTGCTGTCTTCCTTGCGATCGTTGTCTTATTCATTGTTCAGCCGATCGGCGTGGGCTTGTCCCCCCCCCCGCCCCCTCCCCCTCTCCGTGGAGTAGATTCTGACTGGTTTGAGCGCCTCTTTCTTTCGAGCAGGTGGAGTCTCCCCCATAAGACTGACTATTGCAAACAGTCGCGCCAAGCAGAGGTCCGCATCCAGACCGCTCCCCCCTCCCCCCTCCTTCCGCCGAAAGTCGAAACGCAGAATCAAACAAATTATCACCTTCGTCCGTGCCCAAAAGCCATGCGGAGTGATCGCGGGGGGCCCGGATGTGGTGAAGATCTTGCCGCAGCGTGCACATGTATTGCTTGTTGGCAGCGATGGTGGGGGGGGGGTCCTCATGGTTTTGGGTTTGTCGCTGGTCAGATGGGGCAGAGAGTGCACATGAAGAGGAACAGTGGCAAAACTTCAAAACCATCCACGAACAGGTGCAGGAGCGGTACTGGGAAGGTGAAGAAGAAGTTTGCTTTTCCACCTCGGCCCAGAGGGCTCGTGGGATCACAAAACCCTACTTGACAATCAGCACCAATTTTAACCCGGCCGACGTCACAGTTGGCAGACTTGCTATGCCGCTGTTTCTCCTCCTTCCACGGCCCTTGCTGCCTCCCGTCCTGCCCATCCCCCCATCTCCATTCCTCACTCATCCAGGTCCTCTTCGTCCTATCTGCCTTTTCCGTCCTCCTCGTTGCGTCGTTTGCCGAGCGAGTGGGCTTTCTGAGTACGTGATGTGTGCAAGCAGCGGAGTTGGATGCATCATGGATTCAAGAAGATGGACACTCCGCGCCGCCCCCCCCAAGGCTGGAATGGAACCTCAGAAGCCTCCGAACCGCGGGGCAGCACGAGGCCGCACCCCGATGCGCCACCAGATCGGGCCTCTGTGTGTTGCCGCGCTGCACGGAGGAGGAGGAGAGAGGTCTTGGAGAGGGTAGTGGGTCAAGGGAGGAAAAACCACACGGACCAGACAATTGGCGTTTACTAAACAGCCCTGGGCGTTTACTGAACAGCCCTGCCCTGTTCGATTCCTTATCTGGGCGCGTTTACTAAACGGCTTCGCGTGTCGGGATGGTTATTGTCGGGGTGGATGTTATGCCCTCTAGTCGGATGAGCGAGTCTGGTTGACCCAAGAGGGGGTCCAACGAAAAGAGGGTGGTGCGATGGATTCGGTGCAATCGATGAGTGGCGTTGCAATAGAGAGACTGGGGCGTGCAAAAGAGTATGGTGCGCAGACGTATTGCTGGATCTTCTCACGCGTATCACACGAGTTGCAGTACGACGCGATACAATGCTGCGGCGCAATACGTGCGCAATGCAATTGCCCCAAATCTATCGCGCGACCCCCTTTGAGCTGGACACCCTGTTGGGTCGACCAAAGTGAGGAAGCAAGGGTGCCTAAGGTTCGGTGGGTTCGGCTGCGTCGCAGCTGGTTGCATTCGGTTCGTCGGTGTCGCTTGCTGAGCCGCTGCAGCGTTCTATGTTGCTTGCGGTCCGTCGGTGTCGGTCGGTCTCGATCTCGTTGTCGGTGCCGTCGGCGTTCGGTTTCGCTGTCGCCGTGGACGCCCGTGCGGTCGGGGAGAGCGATGAAGGGCCGGGCAGGACAACTGCCAAGAAGACCACCCGACATGTGGTGGGCAGGTGTTCGTTTTTTTTTGGGGGGGGGGCGGGCGCAAATTCTCGGTCTGGGATGGCCCCGCGCAGGAGCAGCAGGGCGGGGGAGGCTTGGGGTCACAGACGCGACAGGAGCGAGGAGGAGGAGGAGGAGGAGGAGGAGGAGGAGGAAGAGGGGGGGGAGGTCCCGCAGGGTGGAGGCCGCCGGGAAGCATCCCCTCGGATGCGGGCCCAGCTGGGGCAGGGTCCGCCTCCTGTCATGCCGCGCCAGGAGCGAGCCTGGAGCTCTGGCCCGTGGCCTTGGCATCGCTCGGACGTGTGCATTTTGCCCTCGGCGAGGACCATCGAGGAGCATCCTTGATCAACGAAAAAACCACGCACGAAACCGGAAAAAGCACAGGGAAAGGACGTCCGAGCGGTGGCCAGTGGCCCTGACCCGGGGAGGACCTGCTGCGCGCCCACCTCGCGCTCTCGTCAGAACCTCTCGTCGCCGCAGGGGGCCAGTGCGCACTGGTACGCGTGCTTTCCAGGCAGGCCCTGGCGGGGGGGGCGTTTGCGCCAACTCCTGGTTTCACGGCGATCCAGCCGGGCATGCTGTCGGCGCAGAGTCGCCATGCTCCTGCTCGTGCGATCGGCCAGGCGGCGCGACCCAGGCAGCCATCGGGCCTCTCGGGGCCCAGCCGAGGGCCAAGATCCGAAAGCTGGGCATCGAAGTCAGGCTCCTTTGTCCTCCCCTGACCAGGACTGCAGAAAAGACCAAAAGAGGGACGTCGAGATCTGGATATACAGTGGAGACCCTTGCCACGAAACACCCTGCTTGCCTCCATGGTGCCTTGGGTTTCTTGGGTTCTGACGTTTTTGCCATGGACAGCGCGGCGTTCCCACACCAAAATTCCATGGACGTCCCGGGATTCCAGGGTTTGGTTTCATGTGGAAGGTTTCTAGTGGTCGGGCCTCCATCGTAGTGTTCCTCTGCGATCGCTTTCCGGACACCTCGGCGAAGCCCCGGGAGCCTCTCCGAGGGTCTCTCTGCTGCTGCTGCGGCGCGTCGGCGGTGCCCCGGTCGCAGGTGCTGCTGAGACTTCAGCGCAACCAGCTGCGAAAGATCAGGATGAATTACGAGGATGTGGGGGTCGGGGAACGTAAACTTTCGGAGGTGTGCGCCCGGATGTTTCGGATCCCCCCGGCGGCGCCTCTGGCGCCGCCCTTGGCGCGCTCCGCGCGCCAGGTGGGGGCCCAGTGCCGCTCTAAGAAATCCGGGCGGACCTCCAAAGGTTGTTGTTTTATGTCTTGTTTGACCTTCCAGGGGAGGCGCGGCTTCAGGAACGGGGACAGACGCGGGCGGGGCAGAGGCCGTCCAACGCAACCGAGCGGTGACCAGGGACGACGAGCTCGACCGATCGCCAGTCCAACGGTGTTCGGATTGAGAATCGTCTGGGACAGGAGAGCCCGGTTCCTGCCTCAGTTGGTTCCCCTAGCCTCACCTACGCTTCCAGGCAGAGTTGCAGGGAGCCATGGAAGGGCCTGATTGCATGGGAGGCGAGGGCGTCCACGCGAGTGTGGGGCGGGGGAGACAGGCACAGTGGAAGCCCAATGCAAAAAAACACCCTGCTTGCCTCCAGTGTGCCCTGGGTGTCTTGTGTTTTGATGGTTTTGCGATGGAAGCCGTAACGCTCCCACACCAAAAATCAACAGACGTCCTGGGGTTCCAGGGTTGGGCTTCTTACGGAAGGGTTCTTTTGGTCGAGCTCCTTCTGCAGACAGGGAAGACGAGGAGGAGGAGGAGGAGGAGGAGGTGAGGGGCAAGTCGACCCGTTCGCGTGTGCTGTTCTTCTCGCATCTTTCGGGGTAGCTTCCGAGTGTGGTACCAGGAGGGGGGTTCGAAGGCCAGGAAGGGCGCGAGAGGGGGGCCAGGCCAAGCTAGGTTTGAGTCGGGCACGTCCCTCTACAGGAGAAACATTCAAGAACAGTAAGAAGAACTCAGGGGACGATTTGTCGTGCTCTTCGGCTATTTGAGTACATGCTTGACACACTTGTGCTTTCTTCCAAACTCCGCCAGCAGGAGGACATGCCCTACCTAAAGCTAGGTGCGCTCGCGCCATCTGGCATCCTTGCCCCCCCTTCCCATCCCTTCCCATCGCGCTGATCTGTTTCTCTATCCGCGGACGCGTGTCATACAGTCAAGACGCTGAAATAAGGAACAGTTTGGGTTCGAAAGGGGCTCGATGTTCCTCAGGTTCCTCCAGTGCTGTTCCTCTTGCCCTCCTGGGGCACGGAGGCGCTTACAGGGCCAAGGTAGAGGTTTCGCTTCTGATTTAGCGTTCCTTCTTTCAGCGGCCCGACTGTAGCCATTCTGGAGCTCCAACTAAAGCCACAATCGTGTTACACGCTATCGAATCAGGGAGCGGGGAGCTGCGTACATAGGAGGAGGAGGAGGAGGAGGAGGAGGAGGAGGAGGAGGAGGAGGAGGAGGAGGAGGAGAGGGAGGAAGAGGAGGTGCCAGGTGAGCAGGAGGGTGAGCAGGAGAAAAAGGAGGAGGACGTCGAAGGAGGAAGCGAAGGCATGTTAGACACTACGGCAGGCACGTTCGGCACTACGGGCACGAGCCCCGCCAAGGGACAGAGACACACGGCCAGCTTCGGAGGGCTTCAAGCTGCGGAAAAGGAAAGGAAGAGAAGGACGAGGACGAAAAGCAGCAGCAGGAACATGGAGCGGAAGGAGCGGGATGAGCAGGAGAACGAGGGGAAGGCGGAGCAAGGAGAAGAAGGGGGGGGGGCACAGCGATGAGAAAAGGTTTCGGGTCGGGAGGAGTGGCCCGCGCTGGGCGAGAGCGCCATCCTGAATGGCGGGGGAAGCGCGCCGGTCCGAGCAATGAGGCCCACCCTGCAGCGGGAGCACCACGTGGGAACACCGACAACAGTCGGATATGCACAAAGCCATCGGGAAAAAAGACACAGTTGTCCAAACCTGTGTAAGCGCCGTGCGCGGAGAGAGCCGGCTGTCTTCCGGACGGACTCAGGGGAGAGAGGAGAGGGAGAGAGAGAGAGAGAGGTGCGAGTGGAAATCATAATGTGTAAGTGTGCGGGCCCTGCCTGTCCAGCTGAAGAATCGTCATCTAGTTCGCCGGCCCGAAGTAGTCATTGTTGGAAGGTCTCAGGGCAGATCTCCGGAGTCGGTGATGATGGGTTGCCTAGCTTGTGGCGCTGGGTAGATTTGGAGAGCTCGGGTGGCCAGTCCGGAGCGGGCTGATCGCAGAGAGGCACGCCGACCAGGCTAGATGAAAGTGAGGCATTATTTTTCAGTCGGGCATGTCCTTCTACAGGAGGAATATACAAGAACAGTTGAAACATTAGTCAGGCGAGGATTTGTCTCGCCTTTTTTGTCTATATTTGGTGATTTGCTGATTATGTTTTGACTTTCCTCCAGGATCCGCCTGCAGGAGAACATGCCCGACCCAAGTGTCATCATTTACGCTTGTTGCTACATACTCATTTTCTGCCTCGAGGGTCTACCTGAGAGAATCCATGTTTGTGCGTGGCGACTGTCTTTCCCCAAACCGCTTGCTGAAGGGGGTAGCGTTGTGATCGTAATCCGTTCCTGTCGAGGGACGAGCGGGCAGAAAAACATCCTCAAGACGGTTTTGTGGTCCGGGTCGCTTTGCCTGAGACATCCTCACAGTTGTCGTTCCTGAGTTGGCGAGGGTTGGGCGTTTCGCCGGAGATCTCCGCGCACGATTCTGGGCTCAGGTGCTGCGCGCCAGGTGGTCCGGCACGCTTCGCGC